TGGACCTTACCAGTGCACTTCAGAGTGCGCTTGCAAACTCTGCGGCCACTGCCGCTGAAAACAAAGTTTCAGGAGAAGAATGAATGTGGAGTATGCGCATTATGAATTAAAAATTTATGAGCGAGGTAGGCGTCGGAGGGAGTGGCATAATATACCCAATATTTCGAATGCAAGGGTTCTCTCTTGTTTTTGTTTTCTCAATACCCACCCCATATCCACCTCTATCCTTTGTGATTTGGTCTTTGATATTTTTTAGTCAGCGCCTATAGAAGGTGGGGCGGCTTTGGCTTTTGCGTCTTTGTTCTGTTCGATGCTTTCTCGGGGTGACATTATAACTTTGATTTGATTGAATGATGTTGCCGCCACTACTTACTTATCCTTCTGTTTGTTTGCACCTGTTCGTTGACACAGAGCCTCTTTTGAAGTAAGAGAGGGCCTCTCTAAGTGGCTCATAGCAATTTCTATATTATGATATTTGGGAGATGAGTTTGAATTTCGGGATCATATATTTCTTTCTTCGTTATCTTTACTCCCTCTCCAACTCCTCCAATCCATGAAACGGAACCCTGCAACCCCCCCAACCCTGGTTCAAGATATCGGTGATCATTTCGCCTTATTCCCTTCCACGTGTTTAGTTAATCTTCTTCCTCTAGAATTAGAGCGCCGTCTTATATGTCTGTCATTATTGATAGAAATCGTCAGACGATAAAAATTTTACCATCTTTATAAAATATTTAGTTTTTGCGTTATGGTTTCTTATTATTTATCTATTTACTTTTAGCACCTCTCTCCCTTGGCTATCAATAGTTATTCCTGGACAAGCTGGCGCTGCCTCTTATTCAATTTCCACCTACGTCTGTCAGTCAGTCATGCTCTCTTCAGGCAATTCAAAATATCTAGTCTTACATCGCACGGACAAATACATACATACATACATACATACATACATACAGAGACTCATGAAGCAAAATCACGTCAATCTGGGGATTAAATATTATGTGCAAAGAGCAGTCACATTAATCGGAGATCATCTGTGTCCATTCGAAAATCAGGAACCGCTGCGTGTGTATCATTAGCACTTTGTGTGTTTGAAATGCAGAGGCTGCGCTGCGTGGACTGTACATAGAGTTATAGAAGGGGTTCAATGTTGCTAGCGGTTTCCAGCTTTACTTAGCGAAGCTCTCTGGTGCGAATTTTCCTGCGGTGAATTCGTGCGCTATGGAATTTCTAGAGATTGGAGGAAAATCGAGCAGGCGCGGTATCCATGTAATGTACGTGTTGTTTTCAGCCGTGATGGTTCGATCTGTTGTTATGCTCTTCAGCACATTGGTTCGGTCTTGTACGCAGTACTGACACGCCACTAAATAACGTTAGTTAAATACTTTTTTTTTTTTTTTTCACTAACTTAATTGTCGAAAAAAGATTGAGTGCAGGGGTAGTTAAGGAAAATATGCACGGTCGTGCCTTGAACCACATTCATTCCCGCGCTCATCCCGCTCCCCGCAACACTGTCATCTGCAGGCATCTTTGCCATGTTTTCCCTTTGTTGCTTATTCGCCCGACCCGAATTTTTAACTGTAGGTATGAAAGGGATTATCGAATCGTTCACGCAACGTACTATGTATGCGTAGCGCCGGCTTCCGGGAACTATTCCCCCTTCCGCGCGCTAACCAGATGAATCATGCCAGAGATCGAGCTAACAATTGTGTCAAGGACTAGGGACAAGCTGCTGAAATGTAGGCGGCCGTTTTGGCGTGTGCCTAACAATAGCGCACGGAAGCCCAGGCGATGATGTATTGCAACGTTGGTTGAGGCATGCATAGGAATGACGGATGTTGTTAATCATCTACCATGTGAGTGGTACATATATATAGCCCCAAGAGTTGAGTAAACCTGCGTTATATGATTAGTCTCAGTCATCGAATTCCAGTAGGATTCCCTTCTCTTCCCCCTTCTCTCTCTCAGGATGGACGTCAATTCCAAACAGAAGTAGGTCGGCCATCTCACATCACGACGGAAGCCGCAACTGCGCACACAGTCGTTCGCAGAGCCGCGAGAGATGTATCGTCCCTGATCCAGATGTCGATATCGCACCGGAGGTATGTACAGTATACTACCCCCCTTGCCACCATAAATCATCAACAACTTCCGGAAAAAGTCTAACAATCCAAACTCCAGACTGACCCATCCGGTTATATGAAGATTCAGCATTGGGAACTTTGTATGTTATATATTGCCCTAACGTCAATTTATCCTGTATGCTTCTCTATGTGGTCAGCAAGGGGTTAGACATCTATCAAGTATGCTAACTTCAATTCGTTCCAATTTGAAGTGATTCCAGCTCCACTACTTCCATAACATCGTCCGTTCTGAACTTCAAGTCTGAGAATGGACGAAGATATAGTTAGCGGAGACCGGGCTGCGGAATATGTGCTAGTATAGAGCGATTCACTCATACTCTCAGATACCTAAACGAAGGGCGGCTAATACCATATTTCTAGCCAAATGATGAAAGGGCAGGCTCGGCTAGATCTGGTACGGTCATCATTTTGGAGGTTAATATGGAATCATTTTGCTGACGGGTTTGGTAGCCGCATCACGTCTAAGTGAATAATGGTCCTTGGAGGAGCACTCTACCCTACCTGGTGTTGGGCTTAGCGCGCGAGTGGGGCCCCGCGCTAACCAAGGCGTGATCTTGGCGCCAATATCAACTCCTCTCCACCTCAACGAGTGGTGGCACACACATCACATCCGCTCTGTGAACGTTCTCGGGGCATCTCGCCATTGTTTAGCATGACAACAGCAAGCATATCAAATCTTACCAATAAGAATAATCCCTCGCATACCAGACTCAATGCCTATCTTTTTGCGAGGTAATTGGCCTCGAAGTTGGCATGTTGACTGGTGGTATTGTGGCTTGTTCGGCATAAGTTACAGGGAAGCTGGAGCTGAGAAAGAGACCTCCACAACACCATCCCTCGACTTGCACGTCAAGCAGATCCTCGAAACTGGGCTCTTCTACTCTGTGAGCATGTTGTTGGTTGCTTTTTAGGCAACAAAGCCAGGACCATACCGCACTCCAGCCCTGCGAAGCGGTGCTGTCGGTCAGAACATCAATGACGATAATAATGCTTGGTGCCCACCTAGGCAATGCTGTCCAATGCCTCTCTTTCCACTTTAGGTTATGATTTCGCACTTAGTAGCCTTGGAGGAACTGCTTGAGATTGAGGACGTCTTGTTCTGTACTCCTCATAGGTGTCTCACCCTCAACCACCGAGAACCCTATCTGTGGAACAATTTGTCTGATCGGTCACGTGTCGTTGTCCACCTTGGCTGCTGTCATCACCAAGCTGGACATCTATTTTATATCTGTTCCCTTGGTGTTGGTGGGCGTCGCTTGGCGGTCTGTGAAGCAGGTGAATACATACACTTGGCTGATTGACATCTGGCCTCATTACATGATCTTCGTGTGTCTGCTACGACTGCAAAATGGAAGGATAATGGAATCCAAATTGCGATAATCATCCGAGGCCCTTACGCCTACAAACCCTCTGCCTTTAGATGATTCCATATTCATCGGTATGTGATGCTTCCAATAGCTCCATGACCTAGCCTATGTGAATTAACCCTTCCTGCAATGTTAAATTGGATGCTGAACAGACATCCTCTGAAGCTGCCACCACGGGGGTTTTTACATGACCACCAACCTCGGGGGTTTTCGGATATCAAAAGAGCCCGCACTACTACTGTACATAAAGGGCACTGGTCATGGAAAATTTTCCTTTTTCCGCACTGGAATACTGTCTGTTTGCTAACGGGGCGCCAGGCCAGACTCTTATGCGAATGTGTCTCAGTCTTGCTGAGCACTATTGACTGCCTTGTGTGAAATTGGCCTTTGTAGAAATCTACAAAATTTCACGGGTTGAATAAGGCACATTTTTCGCTAGTGTCGATCGTTAAAAAGTATGCCTGAGCAATCTCCCATGAAGCACGGAGCCGTCAAAAATTATATCCCTGCAATCCGGAACAATTGTGCTGGAAAATGAGCATGGTATACATGAGTGAGGTCCTCTACCCTATGGGCCTTTACCAGGAAATATCACGACTGAAAAAGACCCTAGTACAATGAATATTGGCTTTGTTGATTGGGGACATTGGGTTGCCGCATTGATGGGTGAATCAGATCCAACTCCCTGCAGTGGGATGGACTTTCATCTGATGCCACAAGACCTACCTAGCGGAGACCTAAGGTTCAATTTGCGGGGTCATTGGATTTGAATGCTACATGAAAGTATGGCAGTTGCGATATTTAAGTACCAAGAGAGAAGTTGGGTTCGCCTGAGGTAGAAACGGAGAGGCAGTGCGCTGCGTCGGTAGCTCAAATCAACGTCTCTAAGCTGTCCAATCAGGTTAGCCCTGTCTGTAGCGTGTGCCTCTCACTGGACACTCCGCTGCTGACTTAAGAAGGAATGACTTACAGAATCGGGCTACCCATTGAGCTACAGACGAATTTGCACATAGGTTGACTGCTTGACTCATTTTTGATCAACATTCTGCAACATCAGAACTATTAAAGTCGAGCCGACTTTTCATGTCGGTCATGCGCGGCCCTAAATAGTATGATAATGGTTTCAGGGTTTGCAAAACAATAAGGCATTGAGTTTCAACTGAACTTACCTTGTTATTTTTTCGATTATTTCCCCAGCATCAGGCAGCCCCACAACAACTGCTGTACTACGCTGTATTGCTTCAAACGAAAACGATGCTTTTCCCTCTTTCGGTAAGGGGAGAATCCACCGAATACGGGGTGGAGATCGCCCAAGGCCAAGCTCTCTCACCCTAGCTTGCTGGTGTGGCTGTGGAACGAGGGCTTGAATTTTCGAGCTAGATCTGTATCCTGTGAACTTCTATAAAATCTATGGCATCACCTCTAGCTTCCAACATCCATCGGAGGTCAGATTTTCTATTTCTTCTTCCAAAATTATTCACTTATTTGCGTAATGTTATATTACTTTATAAAAAAGCAGTTTCGTGCCAGACAGCACCCAGAAGAAAGGGCCGACAAAGCAGAAAAGGCGAAGCAAAAGCGCCCATGTCGGCACCAAAGGCGAAATCAAATCCAGGCAACCGAGTTGGATCCTGTTCCTTTTGATGAATCTAGAAATCAACATGATCCGACAAGCGCAAATCTACTTTCACCCCCAGATCCGGCCCATGAACAAATCCCCTCAAATGGACCATGTGAGAAATGCAAAAAGGAGAAGCACGATGCGAGGGTTTACCGTTCAAAGTTGATTGCCGGTCTGGTATTCCCATATTTTCTCGCATCAGTCGATTTGACTATCGTTGCGTCTGCAATGCCTTTCATAGCTTCCCATTTCAGTAAGTAAACACCCTTCATCCTTTCGTGGCTAAGATTTTGGTCGTGTCTGATATTCCCAACCAGATAAGCTAGACCAGCTCAACTAGATCGTCACTTCGTTTACATTGACTTCCACGGCGTTCATCCTAGCTTTCGGCCAACTAGCTGATGTTTATGGCCGCCATTTTGTTCTGCAACTCGCCATGTTCTTAATGCTCGTTGGCAGTGTGTTCTACGCCGCGGCCCGGACTTGGGGGATGTTACTTTTTGGCAGAGCGTTGCAGGGAACAAGCTCTGCGGGAATCATGAATTTGATTGAGATCGTACTGGCGGATAATGTGTCACTGAAAGAGAATGCGAAGAACACCACTATTTTTCAATTCGTATCTGGGGTCAGTTATGGTGTGGGCCCAGTCATTGGAGGGTAAGCTACACTTCATCTAGCGAAATCTTATTCATTTGTCGAAGATACTCAACTAACTAGTTTTCAGGTATTTAACTGATGTATAACAACCCTATAATATCTTGTGTCGGTATTGTATGAGAGTTCCCTAACAGTCAACAGGCTAATTGGCGCTACTGTTTTGTTATAAGTATACCAGTACGTCTGATCAGTTCTTCTAATATAATTTATTATTTATCAATACGCTAATGTCTCTTTGCTTTGTGCTTGGTTGATTAGATCGCTGTTTTTGCCCATTTCGCAATATTCTTCTTACTCCGTAAGGAGCTAGTCAGGGGCACACATCTCGCGAGAAGTTCTTCATCCATTTTATCAGGACTCGCCACCATTGACTCCGGCGGTACCGTACTGTTCATTCTTGGAATCGGCCTTATCATCTTAGGCACTAGTTGGGGAGGCGCAACGTACCCATGGACTTCAGCCGCTGTTCTTGTTCCCTTGATTTCTGGGTCGATTTTATTTTCGCTCTTTTTTGTTTATGAGTACTACCTCGAACCGGGACGAGTACTTTCAAGGGTCTTCCCACAACAAACTCCCATGGTTCCGTTCCCCATGTTCAAAGTAAAGGATACATCGCTTCTAGCTATTCTTGAGTTCGCTACCGGAGCAGGTAAGAAGATTGGAGAGTCGAAGCTTACCCCTCCGGGAAGGCGGGTATCCAACTACTGTTCTATATCCCTGGTATCGGAGGTAATATCAGATTTTCCGCCCTCCAAAAATCAACGCCTTTCCGAGGTCATGTTTACGTGCTAACGCGGGATTTCTAGTCGGTGTATACTTGGCCATGTTCGCGTGTAATGTCTGGCCAGCGCAAACCTTCACACCGCTTAGTGCGGGTACATTAATCGAAACCGTGGGCGTTGCCCTTATCACCTGGGCTGTCACCACACGCAATATACCTCTGGTCAATGGAATGATGGCTGTCGCCGGTGCGGGGACGGGTCTTCGATTCATGCCCTCTTCATTACACGCAGCTGGGATCTGGCCAGACAAAATTGCGCCCGCCATGTCCATCATGAGATTTTGTCTTCCCTTTGGAGGCACATTGGCACTCGCTATCATGGGTAGTGTTTTCAACAACAAGATGACTAGCATTTTCCATCCAAATTCGGAGTCTCAAAATGGTGGTATTGACATTCAATCGAGCCAGAGTTTGGATGATATCAGCAAGCTTCCGCTAGAGGTGCAAGAGCATATCCGTACTACAGGAAAAGACGCGGTTATGTGGGCTTTTATATCGATAATGCCGATTATGGCGATTAGCTTTGTTACCGGAATCTTTCTGGGTAATGTGTGGATTAAAAAGAAGGGCGGAGGAAGCGAAGACCAGATCGGGAAAGACGCTTCTACTTCTCCAGCTGACGATGACGAAGATATCGAAAGTAATGAGGTTGTGTACGTCTCGTACCTTTGGGCACGGGTAACGGTATGCTTTCCTTTCATCTATCTAAAATTCACACTTTCTCCTCTCTCTTTCTTCAAATTATAGTCAAGCTTAATTGAGCAAATATATCAAGTATTCTAACCTACAAGCCAACAGGGAACCTTAGACGAGAAAAAACGCATCACCAGACCCCTTACCAAAGCCGAAAAGCAAAGACAGGCTGCAGCCTTGCTCGAAGCAAAAACAGCAGCGGGCAAAGCTCAGAGACGAACCATCAGACGTTGAAAATCACATGCTTACTCCCAACCCTCATCAGCGCCTTGCCTCTTCTTAGGTTCTTGTCAAACAGTCCAGTTTTTATCCTATCCCCGTATGTTAAGTGGGAATTTGGTTTCCGATTATTTTTTTCATCCGTCCCCCTTTTCAGCCTTACGACTTTTTTCTTGTTATGGGCGTATTCATAGCACACACATATATCCCTTCTTGTACATGTTTTCCGCATTTCTTCTCGATATTTTGATGCATTATAGAGTAGATATATGTTTTACGTCCACAGTAGTGAATATGCCCCTTGCTCAAGTTATTCTATGTGGATCTAGTGCTTCGGCCATTTCTTCTGAAACCTCTACGCAAGCCAAATCGGCCTAGGCGTGCAGAAATTTTTTGAAAACGGTAGCGAGGTACTGTAGTGGAGCAGGGAAAATATCACTCCCATATGATTACAAAAAGAGCTCAATCCCAGATGCTGTCACTATTGCATCAAAATATGAATTGAACAGATGCTGCCCGAGGACTTGAAAATTTCAGACAGCTCACGAGAGCTGACCGCGATATATACGGCTATACGAGCTCAAAAAAGTCATACATATATTCCTTTCAACGCGATACATAATATAGAGACAGAGGAATCCGGATGTAAACTACCTCAACACACCCCCAACCCCAGCCCACCCAAGCACAAAGCCACTAAGCGCCTCTCCCATAACCCCACCGCCAAACCAAAGATCCCTCCAAGCACCCTTTCTCGACTGCAGACTCCTTTTATCCCCCCCCGAAGATCCATCTACTTCCTCCGTAGTAATCTCTCCTGTGCCGGGGAAGTATGCGCCAACTCCCATCCCGCTGTTTCCGAACCCGATTAAAACCGCATGGAACAGGAAGGAGACGAGTATTGTGCCGATGAGGTAGAAGAGGAAGCCATACGATGATTGCAGGCCGAGGATTCCGGCGCAGATGCCGAGGAGGAAAGCGGTTAGGGAGTGGAGGGTTGAGAGAGTCTGGTGGGCATAGATATGTTTAGTTTAGGGTTTGGTTGTTTAACCTTTTAGGTTTTGGAGGAGCTCGAAGAGAAAGGGGTGCAGCAATAAGCTGGCTCCCCTTTGGGCAGCTTGGGGCAATACGCACGCGGTTATTATGTATGACTGAGTCCGGAACGAGAGGGTTTATGAGGAGGGAGAGTTCTTGTGGTGTTGGAGGCATTGTGGCGGTATTAGGTTTCTTTTCGCTTCCTCTCCCCTCTGTCCTACTAATATTGCTGTCCCTTTTCGTCTTTCACTCCCAATTATGTCCAGGCGATCCTAGATTGGGCCTTCGTTGCAATTAGATATCGAAAATGTGCCACGTCCTCGTGAGCTCCTCGACGTCTCCTTAGCACATAGCAATCATCAAAAAAAACTAATAATGGCGTTAGCATGCGCAATAACAACATTAGATAGTAGCCTCCCTATTCCGGATGCGCTCTCACCTATTACAGATGTGCTGTAAATTGTTCGGATGCAGTATGCGCCAGAAGCAAGAGATTCAGGCTCGAGATTGGTATCAAATCACATGACGACAGTAGGACGGATCAAACCTTGGAAAGTGTTGGGGGTCCCGGGGGTTGGCCCTTTCTACCAGCAGTGCGCTGGTTGGTGAACTGAGCTCTTTTGCCCCAGTAGCCTACAGAAAGTTCCCAGGTTGCCATCGTGTCATGTGATTTCCCACACCCTACATCGAATTGTCTCCTGCACACTCTCATTGCATTGGGTTATTGTTATATAAATTGGAACAATTACATTTCTTAACAGTATGGTGTAAGATGGTGAAGCTGAGAATCACAGCCACTTTTCTCTCAGGCTGCCAAGGAGGTTCTCTGATTCTTTCTGTCAAGATGTTTTACCACGAATTTGCTACTGTTTATAGAGGCTTGAGGAAAATAGCACTGGCAAGCACAACTATCCCTGCCATCGTCCATCGTACCGACGATTAAAGAATGGCAAGCTGCTTTCGGGTTTTTTTTTTTTTTTTTTTTTTTTTTTTTTTTTTTTTTTTTTTTTTTTTTTTTTTTAAATAGCCGAGAAAGGCGATGAGAAGCCAAAGAAGCACAGAAAGAAAATAAAAATGAGCCTCTAAACTTTCGTAGCTAGGTAAATACACAATCATGACATGGCAAGAAGCACAAACAAGGACGGAAATAAGGAGGGGAGAAACCAACGTTACAACATAATAACAAAGGTGAGGAGAACAGGAAATAATTCAGGGGTAAAATTTGAAAATCACACGATATAAAGGAGTTTTGCGCAAAATGTTAGAACAGGACATCCACTGAGAAGAACAATACACAGTTGATAAGAACGAATTACTTTCTCTCTTCATGCTCCTCAGTCGCTTCCCTAATCGATAGTCACTCATCCGGTGATCCTTTTCCAAGCTGGACATAAGATAAAATAGAATATATGGCCCATAAGGCAAGGAAATTTGAGTGTGAAAACTAACACTAGTACCAAACTATCTTAGCAGTATGATCTGCTCCGTAATAACAAAACCGTTTTTTACCTCATGTAAAAGCCAAAGCCGTTTCGTGCATTAAGAATCGCAATTCAAAAACAAAGTATATTGGGATACGTTCCCGTACCGGTGATTCTGGATTCACCTATCCGCACGGCGTCAAAAAATTCAAAGAGCGGAATTGAGTTTGCCCTCCGCCTTGGCTTCTTTGACTTGGTCAAATACCTATGAAATGGGTTAATTCAAACGCCGGTGATGTTTACGGTATTATATCTAAAACTGACCTTAAGCATCTTATTTCTTGCTCCAAGAGCATTCACTCCTCGTTCCTCTAGCCCTTTATCATCCAATTCGATCAGCTCGGTCCACTTGAGGTCCTTAAGGTTTTCTGTATATTTGTGAAGACGAAGGGACCTAAGCCAGCTGGGAATATCCTGAAGCAGATGAGGATCAGTCGGATCCTCTGGTGGCTTGGAGCTGCCTCGTCTTCCACGTGGAGACCGGCCTCGTGCAATCTCAGAGTGATCAGAGAGATAGCCCTCGGGATTGCCACTAAACTGGGCCATATTGAGCCCACCGAAACCATTGTTCAACAATGCATTCGTATCATACGCAGCCAGAAATCCGTTGTTCTGTGGAGGGGCGAAAGTCATGTGGCCCATGCCACCTCCTTGCATCGCGATCCCTGGAGAATTGGGGCGGGACCGACGACCAGCCATGGCAGCTTGTTGCTGGGCCTGTAAAGCAGCAATTTGTTGGGCATTCAATATCTGGCCAACGTCATTGACCATGATCAGATTTGTCCCCGGCAGGTTATTGTTAGGGATGCCAGGGGAGAGCGGTTGCTGGTTCATGTTCGGGCTTTTGCCCTGTCCATCATTAGAACGTGCACGGCGATACTTCCGTGCATCATCTAATGCAATCCGGTTATTTACGGTGGACAAGGCCGCCAGCTTCATAGCTGTCGCATTAGCCACCATATCTGCTTGGGATGGGGCATTCTGTTGTTGGTTAAAGGCCGCCACATTGGGTGTGTTTGTCATTGACGCCCAGCTAGCGCCGTTGTATGGAGAAAAGAAATGCGGTTCCGTCGAAAGATCCGGAGCAGTCACGATGGTGCTTTGGATGTTAGATGGGCCTGGAGGCATGGATCGCGGAGACCGAAGGCCTGCTGACTGAGGCGGTTGAACAAATTGACCCATGGGTGGGTGCTGTTGCCCAGAGGATGATTTAGGTCGCGCAATTGGAGGTTGGGGCTCAGGGGTACGTTGAATCCAAGGAGATGACGGTGGTTGAGGCAAATTATCTTTACCACTATCCGGCGCCGAGATTGTTGGTGCAATTAGGGAAGAACGATCCCCAAATACAGCACTATTCCGATTCGCAGAAGGGGCAGTTCCAGTTTGTTGAGTAAATTCAGCTTTCTGTTTTGCAATAGCTGCAGCAGCATCTGGGAACATGGCATTGATTGTGGATGAATCTAGCCCTGAGTTACGTTTGTTTCCAGGAGAAAGAGGCGGGCGGCTAAAAGAATTACGAGAACCCTCGACGTTCAATTTCGACATTGCATCAGTAAGCCGGTTGTTCATGGGATCTGGGAAAATGTGTTAGTTTATTTTTGATACTTAGACGTGACAGGATTGGTGGTCTTTACCTTTTTCACCGAAGTTGGCGGGGGACAAGACACTCGACATTGGGTGGCTTTTCGACATTTGCTGAAGAACCTGGATGAAAAAGCGGATCTGGACCTGAGTCGTTTGTTGAAGAAGTGCATAAAGAGCAGCGGTTCTCTCTGCCTCACTGAGGACTCGGAACCACTGCTCAATAGCGCTTAATTCATCTTTGAAATCCTGATCCAAGGTAGCAGCCGCCATCTCCTCCAGAGTTGTCTCATACTGATCAATATCTGCGATCCACTGCTGGGCAGCCTTGTCGATGTCATCATTATTCTGAGAGTGAGATTGCTGGTTATAGAAGACTTCGGAGGAGGGCCGAATGCTCCGAGCAGAAAGAGGCGAAGCAAATGATGACATGTCGGCGGAAGCACGCAGCTGATGGGAACCACCAAGTGCACGGGAGGATGGAGGGCGGAGCGAGGATTTTGATGCTTCTGGAGTACTGTTTCTGTTTCCAATAATGTGGCTAGCCATAGCTAAATGTAAGAGCGGTTGTGGGGAATTTGGGCGCTCTAGTGAATGGACGGTTTTGGGAGGGGTGATTAGACGGAAGAATTATTAAAAGCACAAGTGTGATTAGTACAAAGCTCCTGCAGCACCGGCTGACTTTGCGTATGTATATTACGTTCGAGGCCAAGAAACGGTTTCACCGATTTACCAGTCGCTTGATGGGAAATCGGAGGGAGAGAAGAAAGGAGGCTGACGGATTTCCAATCTCAGGCCGACGCTGAACAAGATAGTTCCGATTGGGCTAGGGATTAAAGACAGGCCAGTCCAGTGGCTGTACTGATTGGGGGTAAGAGGTAAAGGATACAACGGAGATAAAGTTGTCAAAAAAGCACAAATATGTGGAAATAGAAGGAAGACGAAGGGTGATTAAGAGCTGATTTGGTGGAGCAAGCTGCGAATGAGAAGATACGAAATCAGACAGCAGTGTGTCAAACACAGCAGCGAAAGACAGGCAGAAGGTTAGCCACCAGAAAAAGCAGAGTCCGGAATTAGAGAGAAAGAAGTGAAGCTGGACGGAGAACGAACGAGGATGGAAGAAGGGGGAGAAGGGAAAGACGGAGAGGATGAAGCTGGAAAGGGACGGGGTTGACACTGAAAGTTGAAGTTGATCGAGATGAGGATTTTGGTGGAGCGAACTGGCCCTGCTGACTAAGTCCAGGTGGACCCAGATGCCTGGTTTCCCGATAAAGTTTAGTGCCTGGATCAGCTGACTCTCCAGTTTGAGAGAAACGAAACCTTTCATGTTAACTTCCAACCTAGAAAAGACCCTCTTTTAATTTCAAGGCAAACGCATGATCGTTGCTTTTCTTTGACATCGCTGCTGTTATATTTTAATTCACAGATATGTGCAATTCTTTGTTCTACAGAGTGAAGATAGGATCGAGTTTTCCTTCTTAGGGCTTTCTGTCTATCAGGTCAAACCATGGGAAAGTCGAAAGTCCAATGGAAACTTTAACTATATACATTTGGCGGGATGCTGAACTCAACGGGCAAAGTTACTGCACACCTTCCAGCAAGCAATATAGATACAGATACCATATGGATATCTCTTACAGTCCACGGAATTAAGGCTGGCAAAATAAGCAGTCACGTAGAGATATAGAAATTCTGTAGCAAATCGGGTCAAGTAACATCTTATTCCTGTCTATATACTTCGTTTGTTCATGGTGGTTACATGTCATATATGCCCAACGTAGATTTCTAAACAAAGAGGAAATATCCAGGTCATGAAATACATAACTCCATCCCAACAATGCTATAAATGACGTCAACGCCGTAAACGAAAAAATATCCGAAAAATATCCGAAAATAATGCCGGTTGTCGAATTAGAACGGGGATGAGCAAAATGATAGGGTTGATATGTACCAATATGCCTCAAAAATGAATATATCCAACCAACTCCAAGAAGTCAACCCTAAAACCCAATGTGTCCGAAAGAATATCCCCGAAACGGTGTACTACGGAGAAGCAGCAAACTCGGACTTCCTAGCAGCTGCCAGACGGTTCCGCCGGTTCGTCAGTATACGACGGGAATACGTGTATCCCACGTATGTTATCCCGACGATCACAAGTATACCAAGGGCCACTCGAGAATCCCAGATAAACGCTTGCAAACGTGTTTGGAAAAAAAAGGTGCGTTTGGTACTTCGACGGACAGCAACAAGTTGCGAGAGGGTCGACCAAAAGGATCCAACGAAAGACTCAGCTCGTGTCAGAGCCGTTGCCTCAATAATCGGCCAGTAAGTTGCCAAGCGCCAGTCGTGTTCCTCCTCCGGATGTGCCGCCCTAATGGCTTCCTTGCATTTGTGTGACATCTCCATGAAATGCGCTCGCCCATCTAGTAATTTGACGAGGTCGCGGATAACTTCACCTTCACGATCATCTGTCGCAATAACCACAGGTTGGTCCGGGTTTAGCTGGGTACGTTTCACATTGTCATAAAGGTAGGAGCCCGTCCAATCGCATTTGCCAAATACATTGCGGAGCACGGGAATTTCATTCTGATGACAAGGATCCTTCTGGCCAAAGGAAAGGTCAGACGGCCAAGTTCGAATATGCAACGCAACTGCCTGGGGGAGAAGGTCAGGTAGCATGTCCTTCACGCAGGCATCGAGAGGCTCTGCAAGTCTGAAGAAGCGTGCGGCCTTTCTCCATGGCCCAGCTCGAAGTGGAAGAATGAACGAGTCCCGTACAAAGTTGAACGCAGAACGCTGCCAGTATGATTCACTTGGAGCAGTAATGCGTACAACTTGCTCTGGCGCCTCGGTGATTTCGCTCGCGAAGTCCACGACCAGAGTAGATGCGTTTTGTAAACTGGTAGCGAGTTGGGGCCTCGCATCGTATCCCAGTTTTTCAAGCCCGGCTGCGTCGAAAACATCAGTGACGGGTATCAGCTGTGATGTAGCAACACCTCGGACAGCCGGACAAGTAATTCCCGGCGAGAGCAGTCTTCGTGTTGGAAGAGGGTTGTTAACTGCCGATGCAAGGTGAAGGATGAACTGATTATTGAAATATGCGAAATCTGGGTTATCCCACTATAAATTTACGCAAAAAAGTCAGCGTAACCGTATCCATTATCCATGAGCATGGAAGTGCCCGTACAGTGAAATATTTTTGGACGCCAGTGTGAACCAGAGGCTGTCTCCATTGAGGCAAATAGAAAAGCGTTATTGTAACGAGAAGGATTGCTGCAAGCACGAGGCCGCGGAGAGGCCATCTCATGATTTCGATTATAAATGACCGATCATCGATAACGTCCTTCTTTGGCCAAAAGTAAAAATGTTGGCTCCTCTGGGTGAATTTGGGAGAGGTGTTTCTGATCCTGGGAGAGAAATTCCCAGTTGAGCCCCTACACGGCGTAGCCTCCAGGCTCGTTACGGTGTAGTGTGGCCAGTAATCTGTACGGAGTGCAAGCCACACACCACCACCACCACCACCACCACCTTTGAAGAAAATCTCGGCATTGGTTGAATTGGTCAGGATTGGTAGCTCAGCGGCTAATGGAAATTGACCAGGATTCTTGATCGGACATACACAAGTATCCAATTCATCAAGACATGGTTTGACAGGGACGATTTATAAGGCCAAATGAAGACCGTCTGAGTATCATTCAATTCGATGACAGCCTAAAAGAATGCGTCCAGGGCGGATGTCTTAGGAGTGTATTTTTTTGAGTTCAAGGGATCCTTGCTCTCTCTCTGTACTCCGTACATGAGGAGGAGTGATAGTTCGGGTTAAAATTCAACGAACTTGAAAACAACCTACCTTGTAAATGATCCTCTCTTCATCTTGGCTACTTTACCCGCCCAGGAAGACACGAGCAAAATCGTCCTACGCTGTAAGCATACTCCGTACGGAGTACTCTGGATCAAAAACAACTCGGATCTTGAGGACACAGCAAAGACAAGCCGCCTCCCAGCCCAGGCAGGACGGGAAACTGCGTACGGAGTAGAATTGTGTGTGATATGAGAGCAGAGCAGGGCAGGGATCCTGCAACGCCAAGTGAAGTGTGACATGGAACTTTTAGTACGCACCGCCTTCCTATATAGGCCTAGTTGGCACGCCGCTAAAGAAATGTCTCACCTCACTGTTCTTGCGTAAGCCAGTTGTTGCCAACAGCCAGCGATCGCCTTGCCTGCACGTGATCACCACCACCAGCGCAATAGCTCTCTCTCTTCTCTCTACTCCGTATATATCTCTCTATATATTATAGAAAAACCAACTTTTCTGAGCAAAATGCCCTGTAATGTGTGGCTGTAAGACTCTATTAATCTTCATTCTTTCCTTTACAGATGTTCTCTACTGTATTTACATTCTTTATACGGAGTACTCTTCTCTACATTCATTAATATACTCATTTCATGCACTGCTGCTCAGTGCGTGGGAATTCTCATCCTCTCAGTGCATTTGAACAGCCTCCATTCATTTATTATCTCTCTATCTCTTCTATCTATTTATTATAGAAAAACCAACTTTTCCATGTGCACCCCATCAAAAATATTTGAATGCTCTGACTCATACAGCTCAGATCAATCTTCAAATCTTCATTCGTTTTTTCATTCTGCTCTTTTCATACATTCTCTACAGTATTTACATTCCTTATACTTTTCTCTATATTTATTTTTGATCTCTGTGATTCATGGCATGCACTGCTAAATTCTCTGTAACATGATCTCATGTGATGTCATGTTGACCCCTTTGAATTCAGATGGGATTGAACAGCTGGCTCTGCAGTTCTGTATGGCTCTGATTAATCTGATGATGGTGATAGAGGTGATACGGGGTGGAAGAGAGTGGTAGGGGGCCTGCAAGATCGCACCTTCTCTTCTAATCAGGTTTTGAAAGCACCTAACATATTGCTTCGCTTCGCTCCGCAAATAAAAATATACATAGTTAGTTATACAGCGTATAAAATTGTGGCCTCGCAGCCTCTCTCACCTTTGCGTGCTGGCGCGGAGCTAAGAAATTCCTTGGAAGTCTGGCGCGGTAACGTGATCGGTGAGCTTCCGAAACAGGCGCGGACTTCATCAGGTTCCGCTCGACTCTTGCACTTGTACGGAGTAACATGTATAAGAGCTAACGCTATTCACGTCCATCAGAGATTTAACTTCCTTTTTTATCTAGTGCCCGGGGTTATGCCCCTTAGCTGCCCTATTATCTCAGTTCTCCGTTTGTTACTGCTCCGCTCCTACTGAACTCTTCTCAGGAGTAGCATGGTCATCCTTCTAAGGAGGATGATAAGACACGATACTGAATATCCCAGAATAGCTTAAAGTATTAGTGATGGAGGGTACCCAGAGTAATAATACAACTGAGCAGCATCGATATCATAGCACCCATCCCGATATCTCCTCCAGTTCTCCACAAGCGCTGCCACCAAATATGCAGTACGCCGTGGCTGGGGCTGAAGATGTTGACATGGTTTCGGGGAGTGAATCCGAACCTTCTGCTAGCGATACACCTTACGGACATGGAGGCCATGATTATTTCAGCAGAAGGAGACACCAGAGGTATTCAAGTGAACTAGAGCCGCCCACGGACAATCCAGACTTTCATATTTCTGAACAAAGCCTGTAAGATGATAGATACATGTTGAAAACCCTTGCACAGTTATATGTTAAACTAACTTGATCTGGTAGGAGTGAATCTGAAAGCCTTGAAGAACCCGATCATTTCGGGGAAGATGTCGACCCCGACTTGGGGTTGTATGGCCGTAGGGGAAGAAGGGGCCGCCAATCTATTGGCAGGCCATATAATTTCGGTGCACGAGGTGGGAAAGGCATCAAAAGAGGCCCCAGGAAGCCGTTAGAACCCAGCTTGGAGTTCAAAAATTTACACTCTGAGGCAACATCGGCGTTTATTGATGCCGACTATGAGAGAGCCACCGTTCTTGTGAAGCAGGCCATTCAGATAAATCCTGAAATGTTTGCTGCCCATTCTCTCTTATCGGAAATATTTCTTGCGCAAGGCCAAGAGGATAAGGCTCTTGCTGCACTATTCAGTGGCGCACATACGCGACCAAAAGATCCGTCCGTCTGGATGAAAGTTGCGAAATTGATCTTAGAAAGAGCGGGGGAAGATCGGACATCAGCATTACAAGATGTAATCTACTGTTATAGCCGTGTCATTGAGATCGATCAAAAAAATTACGATATCCGATTTGAAAGAGCTGCGGTATACCGCGAATTGGGTCATAATGGGAAGGCTGCTCAGGAGTATGAAAGATTACTAAAGGATCTACCGCACAATACAACAGCGCTCCGTCTTCTCGCGGAGACATATATTGATCTCAACGAAGTCGATAAAGCAAAAAGTCGATACGACGAAAGCATCGCATATTACATGTCCCTAAGTTTGGAGGAAGCCACCGACTTTACCTGGTCCGATGTGAACATTTACGTTGAATTTTTTGGCTATCTGAACGACTATGAACAAGGAATATTTATGTTAAAATCACTTTCTAGGTGGCTGCTGGGCCGGAAAGAAGATGCGGAGTGGGACAATATTGTTGAAGACGACCGGGAGTTTGATGCCGAAGACTCCCCTCGTCGAGCAGACATCACATTCTTTGTCCCAAATCAATATCCCATCGAGGTTTACGGGGCGGGTCTACCCTTGGAGCTTCGCGTGAAACTTGGGATATATAGGTTAAAATTGGGCCTCCAGTATAGAGAAGAGGCGTTGGTAAGTGCTCCTATTTAGTCGTTTTCTCGAGTAGCGAAGCTAATTGCCAATTAGTCTCATTTTTCGTGGCTAAACCCGGATGACTCCTCGGAAGGCGCTCTGCTCTATGATTTCGGTGATCTGTTTAGGGAGGTGGGAGATGCGCTAAAAGATGCTAAATTATATCAAGATGCACTACAGTTTTACGTGCCACTTCAGAGGACCCGTGAATACGCAGATACTAGTCTTTTTATGTCCATGGCCGAATGTTATATCGCCTGCGAAAATGATGAAGCAGCCGAGAACTGTTACTTAACAGTGGTTGAATATGATGAAAACGATATTGAAGCCCGTGCCAAATTAGCAAAATTTTACGAAAACTTAGGATTGATTGAACAAGCTTTGAAATATGTCAACGAAGCGATTGAATTAGGAAGGCAGGAGTCGATGCCAAGGCGAAGGCGAAGGTTTGGTTCCAGAGCTCTACAGCTTGCGAGAGAGTTTCGCTCAACGGAATCTGGGGGGGCTGTGATGGCAACGTATGAGGGCCCGATTGGGGCAGAAAACGAAGGCTGGAGATCTCCCACCCCTTCTCCCAGTGTGTCTGGTGGACTTATGACTTCTACTGTACCCCTTTCTAAGAAACGGAGGCAAGCAAAAGAAGAGTATGTCAGCACCGACCATATAAGGTATTTGTACTCTAAATTGTTAGATCTTGAAGCAGCAATGAGAGAAGGCCATGAGGATGCGACCGAGGATTGGTTGGATATCGCGGATGCTCTGTTGCGGGATTTTCGGTCAAATCGCGTCTTTTTCCCCATGCAAAGACATATGATGTTTCTGGGATATTCTAGAGAAGCCCAACGGAAAGCTGGACGCCTGAAATCAACAACCATCATGGATGAAGTAGAGGAAATGGCTGGACGGCTTCAAGCCACATTAGGTGAGCATTACCATCGTTTGATATTGCTGAAATACCATTGACTAGAGATCTAGGAACCCCCGAAATTGATCCTGCGACGATCCCAAATGATTATCACTCTATATCATTCGATCAGTGGTTGGATATATTTCTGGAGTATGCTCTTGTCCTTTCAGGGCAAGGCCAATCAGAAGAAGTCTACGACACCCTCTCTGCTGCAGCCGATGCTAGCGTTTGGTATCATTCCAAACACAACAAATTCCAAATTTACACCTGCTGGTTCAGTACGTAGATTACTTTCGGCCCTCAAACTTTATGTCGTATGACTCTAACTGCCAGTAACAGCTTGCGCGCTCCGGCTCAAGGACGAAGAAACGCTCTCCAACATCTCCCGCTGGTTCATGAAAGAGTACCAATTCGTAACTGACACATACCGCCTGTTCGCAACACTTAGCCGACTTTGTGGTGACCCGCGAAAATCCCTCTTTCATTCGTCCCCCAGCATGAAATTCATGCTGCGCCAAATAAAAGCGATTGACTATACTCTCCCGGATGACCCCCTGCGGCCTACCCAAGCCCGCCGCACCCGAGCTTCTGTTTTCCAAGAGCGTGCCACTCTTACCACCAAAGACGAATCTGGTCAACCCATTCCTGCAGAGGATATGGATGTCCCACTCCTAGTGCTATACGGACATATACTCTACGCCGGGACAAGTTTCACAAACGCGCTCAACTACTTTTTCCGCGCATATGCGCTAGCACCAGAAAACCCCGTCGTACTCTTATCTATCGGCCTGAGTTACATCCACCACTCTCTCAAGCGACAATCTGACAACCGACACTATCTCATCATGCAAGGACTCTCGTTCATGCAAGAATACCGACGTGTGAGAGAAACAAGCCCAATTCCACAAGAGCGGCAGGAGGTGGAATTCAATTTCGCGCGGGTCTGGCAGATGCTGGGTCTGACGCATCTGGCTGTACAGGGTTATCAGCGATGTCTTGCGCTCAGTGGGGAGATAGAGGCTGAGCGAGAGAAATTTAAGAAGCGGAAAAATATGCCGGCGGTTGTTGGTGGCGGCGGGCGTCCAGATGAGCGCGTCTGGGTGGAAGATTTTACTCGTGAAGCTTCCTTTGCTTTGCAATGCCTCTATTCATTCAACGGCGAAACAAAACTGGCGAAGGAGATTACCGATAGGTGGCTTGTCATTTGAATATAGCATCTCATTGTATGATATGGTACACGAATCTCACGCGCCAGAATATATGACGCCACGATGGAATAAGTTGTTCTTGACTTACTCTTCTAACTCGTTAACAAAATAGCCTGAAGACTTGTGGGGTATATAGATATACTCAAAAACGGACTGCACAGGTATGCTAAATATCAATGTCCAATCCCGCATCAAGCGTATATGCCAGACATTCGACACCTACTGTGACATTAGAATCGCTCTCCAAATTGGCCCAGCTTGCTGACATTGGGGAAAAAAAAAAAAAAAAAAAATTCAGACAGTCCCACAGGATGTAAAAAATCAATCATCCAACTCTCATCCCTCTTTCTTGACTTCTTAGCAGCTGTTCAATCCTCACTCGGCCCAGCCTCGTCAAGGTCATCGAAAAAAACAGCTGACTGCCGTCGAATCTCTTCAAGAACGCTGCTGCGACGTTTTAGATGCGGTCTATTATCTGACTCTGGAACTCGTGCATTGCCTGTGCCGCCATACCCATCCTGCCACTTATCCAAGTCTTCCTGCAAATAGCTACCAACCTGTTGGTCCAATTCACCGTCGTTGGCGGATGCGTCAATTTCAGGTGGCAAAGGCGTATTAATATGGCGAGCAAAAGCACGACCATCGCGCTTCAGCGCCTCGGAGATTACCTTCTCGAGCTTCATCCTGTTCTTGATAAATTGTATCTTCGGGAAGGTGCTATGTTGGCCTTCTTGTATCATGTGCGATAATCGATCCGGGGTAGGGTCAGTCAGGATGTAATATAGATCAGAGAGACTAGTTTTTGGCCAAATAGTAACAATTCCGCTGAACCGTTGCAGCCATATTTCACTCCAGTCCTGACCCAGTGGCCGAGGAAGAAGTTCGAGATGTCTGAGGACTTTGAGCCATTTGTTGAGGTCCAATTTAATGTATTGTTCTGTGGCCGATCCTAGGAAACCCCCGCGCCAACCACGGCCTTTACGATGTGTGACAGGACGGCCAACGCTCCCCCTGGAACTGAAAAAGAATAAACTTATGTGGGGATTAACCTAGAATGAATTAGTCCCAGCATTCTAGCATGGCACCAAGGGCAAATTAAATACTTACTTGAGACACGATAGGAAAGTTGGCATTGAAATGTATATCCAATGCCTTCAGCGGTATGTCAGTCCGGAGACTACCGTCTTTCCATTTATGGCCAAAGGAATAGGGGGCGAGCGTTCCATCAGGCTTCTTCATCATCAGCACGACAGGATTTAGTATACCGGGAACAGCTGCGGAGGCAATGACTGCGCTCCATATGACACAATGGGGCGATGTGAGATAGTTTGCCAGAATTGTAGGAGAGTGAGGATCCGACGGAACGCATGAGACGTTTAAAATCCGTCCGGTGCGCTGATACGCCTCCAAGAATGTAGTAGAGCCTCTGCAGAACCAGCTGCATTTTTCAGCCCAGTCGAGCGTGTCAAACCTAGCTCCCGTTCGCCACCATCGCCGTATCCAAACTTGTAACGGGTCTTCGCAGGCCTTAATCTTATAGGCCAGCTCTGGTACAAGTAACTTTTTAAGCTCCTCATCGGTCCTAGTTGCTACCAGCGCGGCTACAAGGGCACCTCCAGAAGTCCCCGAAATAATATCAGGGAGCACACCATTATCAAGGAGAGCTTTGGCGACCCCAAAATGATAGTATGAGAATGTAGCTCCTCCAGAAAGACACAACGCCGTGCGACCATAGTTAGTCTCCAGGTGCTTGAAAAAAGCTTCCTTCGTCTCCTGAGGGATATCTTTGGTTCTAAGGATGAGCTGCAACGAGGCATGTACTTCGTCGATGAATTGTTGAACTAGGTGCTTGGTTCCAAAATATGTCTCGCTGTACAGACGTGGGTTCTCAACACCGGCGAAATTATGCTTGACACATCCTTCCAGCAACACACGGAGGTCTTCCAGCAACGGGCCGAGCTTTACAGAATCATCGCCCTTTGTTTGCGATTGTTCCACCTTGGCCCTTAGCGCCTCCAGCTGGCTTTTGACCCTACTGACGGTTCCATGGTCGTAATATGCATACTCGTTCACGTCTTTCCATTTGTCATTCCCCAAATAGGAGTCCAGCTTCTTGGCTGCCTCCTTCCATTCGCCATAGTTTCTTGTAGTTCTCATCTGCCTTCTCAACGTTTGCCTCTTTCCTCTCCAAGTGATTAAATGCTCGTAGAGGTAAATATATAGCCGAGTGAGAATGTAGAGAACGCTGAGAACCGAAATCCAACCCAAGGCGAGCGAAAGCAAGGGCCATTTTAGGATTGTATACAAATACCCTTCCCTCGTTTCGTCAACTGTTCTGTTGGCCTTGCGACGCTGTCCTGGTTTCCGCACTCTCTGATGTATGGGGCGCCAGTCATTAATCGCAACGAGAGGTGCAGCTTCCGGCGCGCTGAGGGCGTTCTCGAAGTGCTCGAGCTCCTCGTCCTTGATGAACCTCTTGTTGAAGTCGGGAAGCCCATAGGTCTCCTCATCCTCCTGCGATGAACCCATCCCTTTTTCGCACGTACACTCGATCCAAAATTTATTTCTCAAAATGGAATCAATCCATTTTTGCAGGTCTAACGTAACGTCAAAAACTGCTGATAGCTTCTCAAAATCGAGGTTGAAGTGCACAGCCACGTCAAGTCATAACGGAGTATGCTCAGCGTCATTTCATATTTCAGCCACCTATCTCACGTGACATGCCTGCAGCCCGAATGTTTATTACCGCTCTATGAAACTTTATTATCAAGGCCGAGACCTCTGTCATATCCCCCCCAATGTTAATATGGGCCTATAATCCCTTCGTTGAAGCTTATTAGCTGTGAGCATCCCATTACAGGTGGTATAAACCGAATTGCAACAGGAAACTATTAAAGCCGCTCATACTTTACGCTGCGTATACATAACCTGGGCGAGAGAGATGTTACATATTTGACCGATTTCAGGATGTCGTCGCCACTGGTCTGTCCACTACATTCATTGATATACAGCTGTGACACATCAAACTCAGTTATCGACATGAACGGGGAGCAGATGCAGGCAAAGATATAAAAAGACGGTGAACAAAGCTCCGCTGTCGCAGGTTTAACCTGCCCGTGGCTAGCTTTCCACAGGGTATTCCGTGCCAATGATGTCAGCGAAATAGATATCTGTCGCGTCAAAAATGAGAGAAGGACTACAATCACAAATGAATGCTGATTGCAAAGCTTTAAAAACTATAAGAAGGAAAAGAAAAAGAAAATACAGATGAAGGGAGGATAAAGTGCGGCCTGGAATATTTTTCAAATCGGGACAGAGGACACAGCCAGCCACCTAGGTCCCTGTCCTGCGAGCTTCCCAGATCACCATCCTTCAAAATATGAGAGGCAGAGCCTGCATACTTGCATTTTTGATACATGCATTTGAGAAGAAATGATCATACCCTATGGAAGCGAATAATAAGAATAAAAAGACAGACGGCGAGAAAAGTCTAACTACAGCTCAGCTAAGCCTTGCGCCACCTATATTCAGTCCAACAATGTTCGGTGCCAAAAGCATATTTACTCCTTTTCATCCAAGTTCACAATTTTTAAAATTAGTACTTGCGGGTCCATTGTATGCTGAGGCCCCAAGTATTGGAAGCATAGTATTTATCCACTACTCTACTAGGTAACGTCCGTTTGTTTGCTAAGTTACCGATGAAAAAGAGTGTCGCACAATGGAAAGAGGATATTGCCAACCGCAGATGTTTAATAACGATATATGTGCCCGCATTCACTCCGGTTTTACCTAATACGAAATACCAGATGGCCAAATTGCTCAATTGGGACATTGACAGATATGCTTGCGACGTCATCGCGCAGTTGAGATACACTTGTGATCCGGGGATAGCGTCATGATTCGCACAAGTTTTCGATATTTTCATACCCGCAGGTTTAGATTTTATGGGGCTTAGTGCTCACCGTTAATCAATGGGAAGCCGCAAACTTTTCGATAAATTGGTCCATAATATCTCTGAGAGATAGCCTTAGAAGGCCGCAAAGCGATAGGTGAAGGAGAGCTTTGGTTCAGGTCGGATGGTGACCGTCATAACTATATATTACTTGGCCTATCACAATAGTCCTGATCGAAGGTGATATTCTCACATGACGAATATCCGCGATAACTTACTACCAACGACGAGCTAAAATGATGAACAAAACCCTTACTACCGGCTAAGGCAATGTCAATCAATTTAATCTCACGATGAATCATAGGATTAGCCAACAACCTCTCGCCGTGACGCTTTTAGAGGCTAACTACCCTGCCGCCAATAACCATAAATATATTTCCACCACTCTATCCATGCCATTCGCATACCCCCATACCCCCCCCCCCCCCCCCCCCCACCATTCCAACAAAATCTGACTGCAATTCGAGTGCGAAGCGTGGTCAGCCTTTAACACACGGGTCGGCTTGGCATCTGCTTCCCCGTGGGGGCCAAGGTCAAAGAGGGTGAAGTTCGCGATGGGGCAAAATGTTTTCTCCGAAGTTCAAGGATTAACGCCAACCCCTCCAACCCTAATGTTGGCCCCATCTCAACGATAAAGTACTCCGTAGGTAGTCAGAAACGGCGATAGACGAAATGGCCATGTATTCGAGATTCAAACTTTTGCCCTATTCCTTAAAGACTTCCATATCACACAATGCCACCGGAAAGTTGTTTCTGAGAGCTGATCATCCAGCTGCCAAAAGCACGGAATTCAAAGAATGATGTGGGGTAGATCAAGTAGGTTGTTTATCATATTCAACTGGATATACACTTAGTAAGATTCAATCCAGTTAAACTCCGACTAACGTTGGAGAGATTTTGAACGTCGTTAGTTAATAGTGGAGTCTCATCAAACGCACACCGGGCAGCACACCGTGCTGATTCCTGAAGAAGGAATGTTAACTGGTTTGCATTAGTTACTGCTGCATCCTCCTCACTTAGTTACTAGTGACTAGCCTCAATGATTTCCATGCAATGAAACACAATCAACCAACTAGCAACCACTTGTCGTTTTGAGCGGGGTGGGTGGACGAAAATTGACCCCACACTAGAGAAGAAGGTTGGTTGACCGGGGGGAGACGACCCCCAGGTCATCTCATCACAAGTCTAGTGAAGGAGAAGCGGGGGAGAAGGGCATGAAAATGCGGAAAATCGAATATCATCGGCAAAGATAGGGGGGGTTGGGGCAACGTTGCCAGTGAAAATGACAAAGTCCTGAATTCATGATTGGGAAGTTTCTTCACCAGTACCTTGTCTTCATATTTTTATTTTTCGTCGATTTTCTCTCCTGACTAGAAAGTGCCAAGGCAGCTCGCTCGGTGGTTACTTCAATCCAATATAAGCATGATATCCCAGCCACAGTCTCAGGGCAGATACCAGTCAGACTTCCTCTTCCCACAAACTAACACCGGTTAGGCTTCGCACAATCCGAAATTCCACGCCCAGGTGAATGGACACAAGACTCTCCCTTCGCCTCTATCTTGGGTAGGTGGGGTGAAAGGAGTGCATTTCAGACTCCCAAGACTGATAAAACGTCAACCTACGCTGTAGTATTGCCGGGGAAGACTTCCAGAGGGGCGCATCATGTACAGAGGCAGGATGACAACGCTAAGCACAGCAGCTGGGGGGGTCGCGGCCTCTCGGAAAAATTAGGCAACAGGGGCCAAAATAGCCAAGGTGTCAGGGATTTCCAACCGTGATCATTCAGGCAAAACAGTTTGAACCACTGCTTGCATAAAATCCGATACGTTTTACTGTGCGAATGCGTACGCACACATGTTACAGTTCTCTCAAATTTTATATTTTTCCTTCTTCCACGTGAGTAAAGGATGGAGCGCCAGGATTCTAATTTCACCAACTATTCAAGCATGGCGTGTGGTCAAACCTTGGAAGTTGGCATGGCTGTCACGTGGGATGATTGGGGGAAATCGTCTAGATATATTGGGATGGACATAAATTTCGTGTCTGAAATTTTTCGGAATTGGATATATTGAGCAAACATGTGTCCGGAAATCGATAATTGGGCGTGAGAACGAGTCAAAAACCAAATGATGAGCCATGTTGTGGAACGATATGCCATTTCATGTGTTCATACTACTTCATTATTTTGAAGGCTAGTGATATTCCTGAGGATGTTGGAAGCACTAGTATGCCTAGGTCAACAATCGTGCTGTCTCCTTAAGTTCCTGCAAGACACATTCCCGATCCAACCTTAGATCTTCTCAACAACCAGCGCTGCATTACTCCGTACAATGAATTGAGTGGCAGTTTGTCTGTATATAGCAGGATTCGGAGGGCTCGAGCTCCCTTCATAGCTTGTTCCACTATTGCCCAGAGTTAATGGTATGTCGTTATGTGCAGAGAGCGGAGGTGCTGGTTTGAAAGTTCTTTTATAGTTGCCCAGGGGGGCGTATTGGCAGATGAGCTAGCGCTAATTTCCGGGCCACGCGGGCCGACAGGAAACCCGCGACCAAGGAGGTAAGATATTCGAATGCCGGGTTGCTGCGCAGTAGTACATATGTATGTGCATGTGGATGTGGATGTATGCACTAAGCAATAGCGCAGAAATCAGCAAGGATGAACCGCAGGATTTGGTGTCGAAAATCTTGAAAAGGTTAGGGTGGGGCTTATTTCATCTAGTTTGAACGGTGGAAGCGCTTTTTTCGGCCTACTTTTAGCTTCTTCCTTTTGTATATTTTCCCTTCTTGGTGGGAGGGAAATACATAAAAGAAAATGTCACACGGTCACATCATCAGAGGACCCTGTTTTGATCCCTCACGACGGACAATGCAAGGAATTCGGGTGTGGGAGTGTGGATGAGGGGTGACCAACCTATTGGTTAGCGCGCCGCGGTAACCGCAGAATATAGCCCTGTTGCATTATCCTGTATTTTCTCCGTATTTCAGGACCAAACGTTTCCTGCTCTGGTGAAAAGAGAAGAAGGTGGGAAGGAAAAAGGGGAACAAAAGGAAAAATCCTTCTTGTGCCCTTTTCTTGTTGATTCTTCCCCGCTGTTCTATGGCACGGACCAAAGCCATGTGTAGTAAAATGGCGGAAGATAAGCCACACCGGAGTAGTAGATATATATGAACAAGAGGGCGAAGAAACTTCCCTGGCGCTGTAAGCTATTTATGGGCGTGGCTCCACAATAGATAAATTAGCCAATAGGTTAACTATTTGAGATCATGTTGTTTGCGATTGTTGTGTGGTGGCCCTGGTGGATTTTCTCGGGTTTGGAGTAGTTGTCCTGGGAGAGTTTGATAGAAATTGCACGGTGATGAGTCTATGGCGTCTTTCTCTATCATTTAAAGTGGCGAGATAACCATTATTTAATTAATTATTGGAGGTAGCGGAAACCAACTGGGATTTGAAAGATATAAGGCCATGGAACAGAAACCGTGTGTGGCTCTGGCGAACTGGGTTGTTGATAATCCACATGAGTGTGTTTGTCACTAGTCAAAAAGGTAGTTAGGTAGTTAACTTAGTTAACTATCAATCTTGGCTTTTGAGAACTTTCCTTCTCGTTCCTTCAATTTTTCTTTTTTCTTTTTTCTTTTTATTTTTATTTCTTCCTGCCATCCCAAGGTATGGCACGGCCTGATCAACCAATATCACTAATAACAGAGCCGTGCAAAACGGATTATCTGATTAAATTAATATTATATACCTTGGCTGTCGGATCATCCAGATTTCTGGAAAATCACAACATTTTGTGAAAATGCAACCGCCGGACTAGCTTGACGAGTCCAATTATTATTAGACATTGTGGGTGTGGGTACTGGAAAGTGAGCAGCGATTTCGGACCCCCTTCGTTGCCTTCGTTTACGCACTGCTCATTATAGTTAGCCGATGTCAGTGTGCACCAAAAGCTTAAATAATATTGTCTTTGTTGGAGGGATATCCCGCATCCATGGAGACAAGGGTCGGATGTGTTAGAGAGGGGCACAATTTGATGGGTGTGGTCATCAAATCGCAGCAAGTGGAAGACCAGCACCGCCGTGCGGAGCAATAGCGGTGAAGAAATAAAGAAGGGAGCTTTTGATATCTGCTTACTGCATTTTCAATCTATTATTAATGTTCTGATTATTGACACGCAGCCTTGCCCTCGGACGCAGCTGCGCCTTGACAAATGGGGTAAAACGGTAGAACAAGAGGACAAGGGAACCGGGACTGCCATTCGCAGCGGATCATATCTATTCCGCCCGCATATGCAGAAATGTCAGACTCAATCAAGGGCCGGAATTTAGTATTGTGTATTATTATTATAATTATTATAATTATCAGACGGGGGTGTTATTCTGCACGTAAAATTAGCGCAACATGACTTTCTCACTGCGATTAGTTGTGAATCAATTCCGGTTGTATGTATTTATGCGGCACAATATGGCGATGAGGTGCTGATAATTTATGCACTAGTTACGGGGATCGACCAGCCTGTGAGTGGGAGCGCTTTGGCTACCCAGCCTCGAATTAAATCAGTGTAAGCGCCCTAGCCTTGTGGCTTGTCTGACATGTTGCATAATTCATGAGACTCGTGAAAAAAATTGCGAAAATTTGTAGACGGCTTATTAGCGATCTCCTGGCATGATATCACATTAGTGCTTCTGGTATTATTAACCGGACAACATACCTAGGTAAAGTATTACTATTGCAACTCTCTTCGTCTCTTGTCAAACTTGATGGAATAAATTTACCGTGTATTTGGCTCTTGGGAGTGTTCCCAATCAAATGAACCAATGTCATGGTTCTTTATTCCAACGTCGGCGATACCTAGCTATCCTCATGTTAGCCTTAGCGAGAATAGCAACCACCGCCGACGAATGACGTTTGAGGAACAGTATTTCGCCACCGGTCCCTTCATCGTCGCAGCATAAAAGTAGCCTTGTGACACCCAAAAGAGGGACCACTGGTGGTTTGAGGGCGGGTTTGTGTTGAATGCGCGAGGTAAGCTGAATATTGCAGGATTAATCAATCGATGTCAAACCACCACGGGTTGGAAACAACCAGTATGATTTCTTACATGCCTAGTTTTGAGTGTATCCTGAATCTCCTCTCAGAGCGATGAAAGCTGTTACTGAGGCCCTTGTACATGTACCTCCATGTAACTCCAAATTTCTGCTGAAAGTTATGTGGTTAAGACAAATTCCTGTCTCTCTTTCCGGAACCCATATTGTGTAAAATTGGTCTGTTGGGTCTTTTCTACCCTAACTTAATTATTGGCGCCTCTGTTCTGACCGAAACTTATTGGAGACATGCCACTTGTCCCGGCGGGATGATATGTTCCTCTTATCGGAACATCATTGATTGATTAAGCGGGGATGGGAAGGATTGAGCCGCAAAACCAACCCCAATAACGTCATCAAAAGGTGGGTTGAAGTGTAGGCGCGCTTAGAGTTAGCGGGCCCACAGCCGCTCGCAACAAGGGCTCTCTCCAGAGCTTTGGTGAACTCAAACATGCTCACGTCCGTCCCGTCCATCGGATAATATATTTTTTCTTTTTCCTTTTTAGGTCGAACAGTTGGAAAACAGGATTACGAATATTGTATCTGCCAGCCGATTCAAGCAAGAACCCGATAAGCGAAGACAAACCAACTCGGCAAGAATAATATAGTCCTCAGAAGTCCGAAAAAGAAAATCATGAACAGCAATCTCCACTCTCTCACGGACTATCTATTCCCTGAACGATTGAGGAGCATGGATCCATTATAAAAATTTTAACCTTATCAAATCGTATCATCATTGTAGGTGTCACCACTCACCAGCTCGATGACTTCGAAGACCGAACCATGTAGCCCTAGGCACGACTAGTAGTATCAATTTCACCTGAGCGTAGTGTGCAGGGAGTGCAGGATGATCTTGTCCCATGGAAGTCTCGTTTCAATGGGTGTGCTGGACTGGCTAGTTAGGTTTTTTCATGAATAGAAAGAAACCAAACTGACGGGACAGCTTCCCAATTTTTTTTAATTTTCACCTCAACCCTCGTACGGCCTCGGTTTTGTGGGACAAGTTTCGAACGAAGCTTCGCTGTTTTGTTTCTCTCTCTTTGAGTTGGATTGATATTTTTTAATGTCAACCACTGGGAAGAGAGCATGTTTATTCTGAATTGGCGAAACCCGTTTCACAGGAAAAGTTACTGGTAGTCTGGGAATGACCGTAAGTAAACTCCCAGACTGACCAAATTGGGTAATCCCGTATACAGTTCCGGCGCCAGGGGAAAATAACGAAACTGTCTGACCAGGATAAAGAGCCGTCGTTTCGCCAGCTCTTTACGCAGTCAATAACCACCACATCTAATGATTTTGAGGGGGGGTGATGACTCTGATGAGGATGACGACAGGAAACAGAAGGGTGGCCAACAGATCAACACATTGTAGGGTTATTCCAGGGCTTCCCATGAGCCAGGTGATTAAATATGTATGATATATATCGTCATTCCTAGGCCATGTGGGAACGAGGGGGAGTTGAAGTGAGGAACAATTGGGTGAATGTTGAATCCATGGAGTGATCATCTGCATCGTGAACCTTCTTAGTGGTTGGCCGCGTGAATGTGGGTGATTTGTGCCACATGAAGGGAAGAATTCCGTCAAATAATGATGGGTACCTCGCGGTACATCAGCGGCGTTCAACTACCAGCCTAAGAACTCTTAATTTCGCCAGCCACCAACCACACGCGCAGGCCCGAGGGCAGACAAGACAGGCCAAGCAAGCCCCACCAGCTCGCTGTTTCCTTCCCAAGATAGGCTTAACCAGCCTACGAGGGCCCCTCCGAGAATGGCTCCGAAGATAGCAAAGTCCGCGCCGTAACACTGCGCTGGGTGAGGGAGGCCGAGTGCCAGTCGTTAAATAACAGTCTGTACACAGTAGTAAGCATGGGCCTGGGAACAGATTTGAGGAAGCAAGGGTTTCCGAGGGGCAAACCGGGGCAGGCAGACTAACTGGGAGCGTGCAGCAGCTAGTGTGAAGGGGGCGGTCCTCTGGCGCTATCATGCCCGTATGCAGCCTGTTGCATCCACTACAAATCCCTCGTCTGGCAGTCCGGTCCCATGCACGGTGCAGGCTTGCCCTTGGCTGACTGCCCCTCCCCAATCAGAGGCGGCGGCGAGGTGAATTATGTACGTAGTATGGAGAAATACACAGTAAGAAATATCAGCTCTTGACCAGCCCATCATCCCTTTCAGTGTTTTCCGCTCTGGGTAGTTTCCTCCTCCCTGTGGTTCCTATCCCGCACACCCACCTCTTTATCTTTCCCACCTCGTCCTCTTCCTCTCGTCTTCCTCCTTTCTCCCTTCTCTTCTCTTCTGCTCTTTTGTTTTCCCTTTACCCTGTCTCTTTTTGAACAGCGGACAACTCGGTTGGAGGAATCGTGCTAGGACCAACACTTATCCCTCTCCCTCTCCCTCTCCCTCTCTCCCTCTCCCTCTCTCCCTCTTCCCTTCTGTTGACTGGCCAATTGAGTCGACGAACCTCATCGGTCTTTTCTCTCTCCCGCTTCCCCCAAAGCCCAGCAGCATCGTGTTGGGATTATTTGTATTGTATTGTGGATTTTCATTCTTCTCTTGTCGGAGACGGGTATCTGTTTTCCACAGTCCGTCTCTAGTTTCTGCCTTCTTTTTTGCCTTTTTTCCCTTGGGGCTGTCCCGGTGACCAAACCCAAAACACCCCCCCGCCCAGTTCTCTCCGTGCACATGAACCCAAAAGACGTGATCCTTTGACCACTTCGCCACGGGCTTCGTAATATTCCTGTGCAGTCAATTTGATTTTCCTTAAAGAGAATCCTCGTTCTTGACTCGTTCCTTTTAAGCCCTTGCCCCGAGTGTCTTGTTGGAAAGTGCGGGCATTTTGAGTCACTCAAGCTTCAAAGTCACTGTTGTGGTGTGCGCATCCATTTTGAGCCTCCTGTTGTCATCAAAACAATCTCCGGTGTTGGTGGCAGCCTTCTCCCTCCTTTCCGTCTCGCAACCGCAACATCCGCATCTTCCTCAGCCCACCCTCCCACCACGACGCCCTATATCTTCTTGGATGCGCTCAAAATGTCCTCTCATCCATATATAGTCTCGTTCTGTCAGTGAACAAGTCCCGCTTTCTCCTTTAGACTGGACCCAGAACTCCTTGGGCAGCGACCTCGTCATTATGGAGAAACTCAACACTGAAGATGGCCAGCTCTTCATCAAAGTAAGTGCCCTATTTCTCGCCAAAACCCTCTATTGCAGCGGGTTCTCTCATCAAGTGGTTAATTTACATGCCTAACTTGTTAAACGTGCTTGCTAGAACCTGGCCAGCTTCGTCCGTACTCATGAGAAGGCCCTCGCCAACGCTTTGCAGATGAAGCGTCAACCCTCCAAAGCATCAGACTCTTCCACCCGTTCCGCTACTTCCTCTACACTAGCTGCTGCGTTATCCTTGGGGACACTGAGTTTCACATCCCACAACATTAAACCTGCAAAACTCACCCTGACTAGCCATCATCTTTTCTACCTTTTATCCCGGTTTGAGGACATATCCATTCCCGTGGGGCCCATGAACATCCGCTTGGAAAACATCAATACAGAGGCTTCGTCTGCATATGTGTCTTTCTTAAGCAAACCACGTCGCTCCAAGGGAGACAGAGACTCGATCCATTCTGTATCCAGTGTGCGTAGTGTCATGTCCGGTATGAGCTCGCTCTGGTCCTCATTTGGCCTAGGATCCAAAGACTCTGTCTCCAAATCGGAAAAAGCCAAACTAGCCATTGAAAATGACCTAAAATATTTGTATTCGGCCTTTACTAAAATCCCCTGTTTGAGACTTGCCCCGGATCACAGAGCTCGCCTTATTCGTGGATACGAGGAATTCCCCTTTGACACAGCTGTCCCACTCCATTCGTTTAAAAACCTCAGCGCCCTGGAGATTATCGATGTAGATTTCCGTTCCTTTTATGGCTGGGATCGTCTAGCTGAACAGTTAAGATCCCTTACTCTTAAACGTGCCAGTATTGATGACCCTACGGACCTCTTGACCGGGATCGTTCTGGATGACCTTGACAAACGGAGACGGAGATCCTCCAAATATCAATCATCTCCAGTTCTCGGGGCTTCTTCCAACCCCCAGACATTCAATAAACCAGACCTGGCGAAACCCATGTCGGCACCTGGTTCTCCAGTAGCTGAGCCCAGTTTAAGCACAAGTTCCAGCCCAAAAGGCAGCGCCTCCATGGTCAGGGGTTTCTCTGAGGGTGGGAGAAGACATGCTCGAACAGAAAGCATTTCACCCACACGCCCCACTAGTTCAAGACACCAGTCTCATCGCAGAGGAACGTCTTCCAAAATACGCAGATCTGGGTCTGGGAGTTCCAATTCTAGCGAGGCTTCCTCCCACCAGAGGAATGGAAGCATGTCGAATTTATTGGCTGCTGGCATCCTTCCTCCATCCAAATGGCGGTTCCTGCGCCACCTCAGCTTGACAGACAACTCGATGACTAGTGTCAGTGTCTCCAGTCTTGCTCCTGTTGCCAATACTCTCCATTCATTGGATTTGTCCTGGAACCTTTTCACCGAAGTCCCCGACAGCCTTGCATCCTTGACAGCTTTGAGATCTTTAAACCTATCTCACTGCATGATAGACTCTCTCCATTCTCTTTCTAGGAACCCGTTGCCTGCCATCACTGCGCTTAATCTTCGAGGAAACCGTCTCCGATCACTCGCAGGAATCGAACGGTTATTGTCTTTAGAGCGCCTTGATTTACGAGACAATGAACTAAGTGATCCCACCGAAATCGCCCGGCTCACTGGTATCCCATACCTACGCGAAATTTGGGTATCTGGGAATCCTTTCACCAAAACATTTTCGGGATACAGGGTTTCCATATTCAACCTATTCAGACAAACTCCAGGATTCTCTGAGGATATTACTATTGATACTACGGGCCCCGGATATTCGGAAAAGAAACAACTTGTGACTCGTGTCGCAGAACCGGAAGGGGCTCCTGTTATTCGACGTCCAGAACCTGGTAACGAACTTGCGGATAAAACCCAAGATATTTCAGTTGCCTCGTCAGTCGCTGCAATTCGTGCAGATACATCAGCATCTGCCGCTCCTGTTCAAGCAGAATATGCGATAGGCTCTAGTAGGCGGAAAAAAGTCCACAGACGAAAAATTGTCGAGCTCTCCAACGATGATCCTTCTTTTAACATGGTGACTGGCGGCGTGGAAACCGTCGGTTCTGTTTTCCAGCAACCTATCCTCGAACACCCAGCTACGAACCCCGCAGCTACAGCAGAGCAATCTCCAAGCTCAAATAGGATATACAGCAGAATCTCTGACCCCAAGCCGCTTCAGAAGACCACTATTGCTACTATCCCACCCCCAAAAGAATCGCAAAGCAGTCCTGCCTTCGAATCCGCCAAGAATCCCCACTTACTTCCTGCTGTCCAAAATCTCGACTGGAGCGCCAACGGGGACTCCTATCGTCAACGACTCGAAGCGTTGAAGCAAGAAGTTGGAACAAACTGGCTGACAGTGCTTGGCGATGAATCCTGGGACACTTCACAAAAGAATATCAATTCTCATACAGGGGGGGGAACAGAATACGATCCAGTTGGGTCACTTCGACCCGCGCTCATTGCTAGAACTAGTAGCCAAGCCATCGCCACTGGAGGTCGAATGTTGGGCTAAATATCGGACGAATCGATATTTTTCTTCACGTTGGATGTCTTCTTTCCACTCCTCTCTCCTACATTACCTCCCTTCGCCCCCCGAGACCCCCCGAGAACGCCGATCTAAAATCCAAAATCGAAACCACATATGTGATCTTGTTGCACGAAATACGATATAAGATTTGAGACGTATAGACTCTATTTTCCAAATCGCGAGGAAATAAATTGCGAAAACCCGGCGGGCAGATATCTTGTCATCCCCCTTCTACACACAAAAAAGTTGAGAAACCAAAAAGTGAGAGAAAGAGAGAAAAGTGTTTTGAGGAGCGATTTTTCCATTTCCACAGAAACCCATCATAATCGTTTTCAACTCTTTAAATTTTCCCTTTTCTTCTCCCTTTCTTTCTTCTGCGAGGCAGCCTTGTGCTTTTCCCCTAATGGGATATATGTCTGCATGTTCGTTTCTTTTTGCATGAAATATACCACTGTTGTTTCCAGCCTGTATGATAATTTTTTTGGGCTTTAGTTCTTTTATTTGCATGTGTATGGCGCTAACTGATTTTGGGTGGCTTACTGTCTCCGCTTTTGTCACTGTTGTTGTTTACCTATCCCTGTGAGTTCAGGCCTCGTCCAGGGAGGTATATGAGTGAGAGGATCATCCCTCCCTTTTGCTCATATTGTTAGACCGCTTTTGTACTCTACTTTTACGGACTGGAGAGGCGGCTTGTTTTTACCTTTTCATGGTTATTTGTTTTTGCGTCTTTTTTCCCCTAAATTTTCGAGCACTCCGGCGTTTCACATAGCGAGTATTTCTATTCTTTGTGCTATTTTCCCTTCTTCTTTTTCGTATCGATTTTTTGGTTGGGTCTTTGGTGCTGCGAACAGAAAACGCTAATAGCGTTGTATAATGTTTTTCTTGATTTCCCAATCAATGTGTGTCGGGCGGGAGGTTTTGCGTTAACAGACTTTGGTTAACAACATTAAAATATGCTATTTTCTTTCTCTTCTCTAAATGCAACTTTCTCAGATCATGCTCTATTTTATTAATATACTCGCGCTGTGATGCTTTTTTCTTTCTCACTGCTCTCCTCCGGCCATTATAGTAAGCGTATAGAGGTGTAGTATATCGAGGCCTTGTGTAAGGGGGTAGGCAAAGAGGACCACCCACTTGCACTAACTCTATCCTTATTACCGTTTAAAAACACTATCCGGAACTCGATGTCATATGGGATATCCAACTAAGGGATGCACCTACATCAGCCAGGCAGAGATCAGAGGCAGACCTTCCCAAGCGTGCGGGCAAGGCAATTTCGAAGGCCGGGGTGCTGCCTTTTTTGCTTATTATATAGTTATATATTTTGTGTATATATTCTTTTGCGTTGATGCATCCGTGCGAAATACCCATATGAGGCCCCATTGGTGGTGAATATTAGCTATATAGCTCGTTACCCTCTTGATAGGCCGGGCACGTATGGAAAGGGAGATGGAGGTTTTGATTTTGATTTTCTTTTCTTTTCTTTTTTTTTTCTTTTTTTTCTTTTTTTTTTTTTCACATATTTGGTTCGAGTTCAAGGAGCATAACATACATACCATACCACCACTATAAACATTAGAATAGTATCAGTAAAAGGAGATCACTCCGAGCATACTCTGTAAAATCATAGAGGGATTGGAATGTAGATAAGGGGCAAGGGTCGATGAGTTTGATGGATGAATGGAAGCCTTGGCCGTCGTATAACAAATAGACGGTGTGGTCGAGTGGTAAGACGTCACGTTGTGGCCGTGCCAGCCTGGGTTCGATTCCCAGCACCGTCAGAAGTAATTAATTTTTATGTGGTTTTTTTTTTTCTTCTTCCTCCCTCTCCACCCAGCAGACTTATGCAGTTCCCTGATGTCTCAACTTTTCTTAAAAAACAAGACAAATTAAGTCAGGCGCTAGGAAAGGGGGGGATTTATCTTTGTCATTTTGTTTCTTGGAAGCCGTGGCAAAATGAAGCTGCATTCCCCCCCGCTTGCTATTGAATTCTTACAATCACTCACTCCATACAGAGTACAACGGTAGTCCGATCAGTTTTATTCGTAACGCAGACAAAATATCTCTATTTTTAGCTATTCCTTGCTCCTATTGGCCGGTTGTACGATTGCAGGAGTTTCATTGTATCGCACATATAATTGTTCTCATAAGATTCCGGCGCATAACCATATATCATTTGCTCAAGAGCGAGTTTATTGGCAAAACAAGGCAAAAAAATCCGTATTAATATCGCCCAGGTAGAACATCAGCAGCCGCCTCATTGATACACAGAATCGGGCAGCCAGGCGATGGATTGTTATCATTATAATAAGTATTTTGCTCGTAGAAGGGAGAGGAATAATAATAATAATAATATAGAAATATAGAAATAATCACTGGAATAATAATAAGAGCAAGATAGTTTCTGGGCTGCGTATTAGTGATAGATGCGTACCGTACCGCCGTGTGTATGTATGTATGTATGTATGTATGTATGTATGTAATAACGTATTCGTCCCCCAAGTCGTCTCAACTCTCCTCCTCCATTCCAAGTCAACCACAACCTTCTGCAACCATCTCCCCCTCTGGCCTCAACCACCAACCAACCGTGTCTCTCGATCGCTATTCTTCGCTGCTGAAGACCTGCTTCGTTGTCGACTTGCTGCTATTAAAGATTTAGACTGCCTTTGGACTTCTTCCGGCTACCCAGAACAGACTGCTCTGCACCCTAATTTTCTAGCAACAATTCCTTCGTCCACCGCCACCGTTATATCCACCAACGCTCCCGGAAAAAAAAAAAAAAAAAAAAAAAAAAAAAACCACAACTTGAAAACCTCCAGCTAGACTACGCTCCCGATAGGGATTTTCTCGTCGACTACAACCATATTTTTTTTTTTTTTTTATTTTTTTATCGCAAGGTCCAGAGATTGCCAGAGCCTTTGCTGTTGTCGACACCGTGCCTGGATTCTGCTGTGGTAAAACCCAGATAGAGCCTCATCCGTTGATCTAACACACCAACGAACGGCCTTTCACTCAGCCCTTCGCTCCATCAACAACCCTCTTCGACTGCAGCCCGCACCATCCCCTCCGCCATCGCAGAATAAGTATCTAGGCCGTTAATCAGTATCTGCGCGAGGAGTCTGGATTGGAGGCACGTTGGCTCAGTCCTTCACGGCCGTATTTTCTCCCTGCCATATTAGGTTTTCCCTCTTCGTAAGCCGCTCGCCTTTTCATGCTAAACGCCCTGCATGTTGCGACCCCCAAGCCGCCGGCGCGTCTTTATCCCAACTCTACCCAACATTAACACAGCCATCTTGGGTCGCACTTGTATACTGACTCTCTCTAAGATATCTAGGATTGTGTGAACTTCCTCAATACATCCAAGCCTCCCGAATTTCCCGCCTCCCTTTCCCCCCTCCTCCTCCGCCGCGACCCCCTTTCCTCGCATTTTTCTCTCGCCGTTTCGTCCTCCTCGTTCCGCTTTTTCTGCATCCGTTACGTTCTTTTCGGATAACTTTCTTGCTAGCGGCAGCAAGACATGGCTGACCTGAATGAAATCGATCTCGATTCCATCATCGACCGGCTGTTGGAGGTGAGGGGCAGTCGACCAGGAAAGCAAGTTCAATTACTCGAGTCTGAGATTCGCCATCTCTGCACCAAGGCAAGAGAGATCTTTATCTCTCAGCCTATACTTCTCGAGCTCGAAGCGCCAATTAAGGTTCGTTTCTGACACTACAATTTATTTCGTTCTCTTTTTGCCACCCTTCTCCTATCAAAACTTGGCAATGTGGTGGCTATAAACCTTTGGGGAACACCAATCGTTTAAATTCATACCTCACCATGCGACGTAATAGCGCATATGGCTAATTTTTTAACGTGAACGACAACTAGATATGTGGCGATATTCATGGACAATACTATGATCTCCTGCGTTTGTTTGAATACGGCGGCTTCCCTCCCGAGGCTAACTACCTCTTCCTTGGAGACTATGTAGATAGAGGTAAGCAGTCGCTTGAGACAATCTGTCTCCTGTTGGCGTACAAAATCAAGTATCCAGAGAATTTTTTCATCCTCCGCGGAAACCACGAGTGCGCGTCGATCAACCGTATCTACGGTTTCTACGATGAGTGCAAACGGAGATATAACATCAAGCTGTGGAAGACGTTTACCGACTGCTTCAACTGCTTGCCAATTGCCGCTATCATTGACGAAAAAATTTTCACCATGCATGGTGGTCTAAGTCCCGACTTAAACTCTATGGAACAGATCCGTCGTGTAATGCGCCCTACTGATGTAAGTGCTCGCATTTTTCGTTGCCCTCTCGCTCTTGCTAAATTTAGCGTCCGTAATTCATGGGGCTTCTTTCACGATGAAAAGTCTCCGAGCTCCGCGAGGCTCAGTATCCGCTGACCAATATAGATTCCGGACTGCGGTCTACTCTGCGATCTTCTGTGGTCCGATCCAGACAAGGATATAACAGGGTGGAGCGAAAACGATCGAGGCGTGTCATTCACGTTCGGACCAGACGTTGTTTCACGATTCCTACAAAAGCACGATATGGACCTTATATGTCGTGCACATCAGGTTGTCGAGGATGGCTATGAATTCTTCTCGAAACGGCAGCTGGTCACACTCTTTAGCGCACCCAACTATTGCGGAGAGTTCGACAATGCTGGAGCCATGATGAGCGTTGATGAGAGCCTATTATGTTCATTCCAGGTATGATGCCCCCGGCCGCTCTGTTCCGCGGTGTCACCGCTGGTGCCATAAAATACCATACAGGACGCACAGATAACTAACACCAACTCCTACCTGCAGATCCTGAAACCAGCCGAAAAAAAACAAAAGTACGTCTACGGTGGCATGAGCAGTGGCAGACCCATCACTCCTCCTAGGAAACAAAAGAAGAAGTGATCAAGAAATCATACGAGCTTTCCCATTTGTAGCAGGTTCGGGCGGAGATAAAAACTCTAGTCAAAACTTCCGACCACGATATATCAAAAACACGCACGTGCGCGAGAGATAGAGAAAGATAGATGATAATCTTGGCGGGGGGGACGACAAAAAAACGAACCAGCCAACCCACCCTCACACCCAACCTCAACACACGACACACCGCGACACCAGTAATAATAGTATCAGCTTGTATGCGCCGCCGCCTTCCCTGCCACCTTTTTGTCTTTTCACCTCGATTTTTTCTCCCTTCATCGCCAGCTTAACCGACATGGAACAGAGCATTGGAACTTCGCAAGGGCCGTTTCCTTCCTTTTTTTCTTGTACGCTCCTACGGTTGTTTTTCTTTCTCTTTTATCTTTCAGTAATAGGTCTCGACTTAACTATTCGGTACTTGCTTTTTCCCTTTTTTTAGTTATTTTCAATTACCTTTTTTCCTGCTCTCTGCGCATTCTTTTTAAAACGTATACTGTAGCTGATAATAATCAATGCTCCCGTCAATCGTCGTCGTAGTCGTCTTGAGAAAGAAGAATCTCCCTCGATCTAGTCATCCCGCCCCTCTTTCTTTTATCATCCCCCTCTCTGCTCTCTCTGGCCCCCTTCTCTCTTTCGGCCACGCACCCTCTTCTCTTTTCAGATACGACTGTTCTCTATTTGTTCCATTTCTGCGTTTCCTGTTCACCTCTATTTTTTCGTTTTCCCACGACAGATATATATATATATATATATGAAGAGAGAGAGAGTAAGAGAAAAGAGACGAGCATGGCGGGTGATCGTTGATTTAGGTCGCATTCCGTTTCCGTTTGACAGAGCAAAAATTCTTAACAAATGCTTTTTTTTTTATTGTATTCTTCTCTCTACGTTTCTCCTTGCTATCTCTTGTTTCCTTTCCATTTTCTCTTCCCAGATCCGATTAAGTTTTGTTTCCTTTTCCTTTTTCTTCTCTCCCTGCCTTTACCCCTGCCCCTCCTTAGGCATCTACTGTATTCCTGTATTCCTGTATTCCTCGCCCGTCACCCGTAGGAAGATGCGCGAAACATTAAAAAAAAAAAAGAACAAAAAGAAAAAAAAGAAAAAAAAAAGGATTATAAAATTAAAATCACTGTTAAGGTTTACTTGGGAGGGATTGTGGAATCTCTTTTTATTTCCTTCCAAGGGGACATGACGACAGGTAGAGCGGGCTTTGCAGTGTAGGACATCGGGCTTCTCAATTAGGTTGAAGGTATCGTACTTAGGTAAAAGGCCGGGGGGGGGGAGGAGATGATAGTTAGACACAGCATTCGTATTCTCAGGGTTCATGAAGTGTTTATTTTTCTGGCTCAAGTGTCAAGTGGTCATTTTCAGTGAGATACTGTAGCTAGCAGCAGGCAAGCAAAAGAGCAGTTTTACAAGCTGAATGAAAAACATTGTATATATGACAGTGAGCAGAGGGTTGCCCATCGCATTCGCCCATTTTAAGCCTCCATGTGCGCCTGTATGATATGTATATGTATATGCCTTTGGTCGCTATTCCGCGGGCCAGAGCGGAACGGACTGGGGGTGGTAAGTGGGGGGAGGGGGGGAGGGGAGGGGTGGAAGGAGGAGGGCGGAGAAACTTCCTAAAGGTCTATCCATGCTTTATGAACTGTCTGTCTCCCATGTAACAAATAGGGAGGGAGGGAAGGAGGGTAAGAATAAGTTAACGATAAACGAAAGCGGAGACTGGGAATTCGAATTGTAATTGTATCTTTTTTCCTGATTACTTTATATTTTTTGGCCGGGGGGGGGACCTAAAAGACTATAAAAGACTATTCCCTCTCCCTGACGGCCATTGAGGTAGATGAGAGTGTGCTTTTTTAATTTGTGGCGGAAAAAAGGAAAAATAAATTTGGGCTTGCTAATAAGGGTTGTGGCCCCCAAAAAAAAAAAAAAAAAAAAAAAAAAAAAAAAAAAAAAAAAAAAAAAAAAAAAACCGGGAGAACAAATGGGAAAGGAGCTGTTTGTCATGAGAGTTCTGTACATCATGGAGAGAAAGAAGAAAAGATTTCTGTGTTTTTTTTCTGTACTGGACGCCTAAACAGCAACAAACAAAAATGGATGAGAGTAGGGAAATGTGAATGGATTGATGCAATGATAGATCTGACTGATTGATTGATCTGGGGGTTGGGGAAAGGGAGGAACTTAGTTCCTGAAATTTATCCTTTTTTCCCTCATATTCAACAAATCATGAGCGAAGAGAGAGACGGAGGAAGTTGATGGTCTCTCTCTTTTTTTCTTAAAATAGAGAGTTGTGAAATAAAAAGGAAAAGTGGCTTTGGATGGCTGAGTGGAACAGACAAAAAACAAGATTTGCATAGACTTGACGGGCATAGAAATGAACCTGGTTAAAGGACAAGACAGGACAGGACAAGACAAGACAAGACAAGGCATGATAATACGATTATAATGCAAACGCGAAGGCTTTTCTACGCAATTTAGACATATTGAGACATCCATCTGATACCTTCACCATAACCTATTGGGGAGAAGGGAAAAAAAGGTGCTTAGCTACGGAACTAAATGTTTTTCGTTTTGGAGAGGGTTTCCTTTCAAAACATACCTTGCCGCATAACCACGCTACACATGAACAATTCAATAGGCCGGATACCCTCCAAAGGCACCTTGCCCTTGCCGGTGGTCTGGAAAAGGCCCATTTGGTGCCGAAGCTCATCCTCAGGCACGGCGCCCGGGTGATCGATTTTATTGCCGAGGATGAGGAATGGAACCTTGGCAAGCTCCTCCATGGCCAGGAGGGCGCTCAGTTCGGCCCTAGCTTCGGGGAAACGGTCGGGGTCCTTGGCATCGATGAGGAAGACGATGCCGCTTACTTCTGGGAAGTAATCTTTCCAAAGACGACGGGCTGTGAGGGAACGGACGTGGTATATTAGTAAGTGGTTGTGGGGGAAGAATTGCTGATAGATGCATTCATCATATGTATTGTAGGAAGAGACAGCAAAAGGGAATCGATGGTTTCTCACCTTGCATGTGACCACCTAGATCGAATGTTGTGAATCTGTTGTTACCAATGGCTAGTTCTTCGGATGTGGGATGTGCGGTAGGTTGGAGGATGGCCACTCGATCATTCTAAGAAAACGTAACATGTTAGCGAAATGCAATTATTCCCCCACACGACAACCTTTCGCAAATAGTCCCGGAGCAGCCACCCGCCCCCTATATCTCATGTAGCCAGCACATATATCAATCTTCTCGACACATTTCCCCCTTCAACAAGGGCTCCGCCCACACGCATAACCACAAAAAACGAGGCCTGCCAATCCAAACAAAACCAAAATGCATATATGTCAACCCACCTTCAACATATGCAGCAGCGTAGTTTTTCCCGCGTTATCCAGACCGAGGAAGAGGAGCTTTGCATGCTTGTTCAGCAGCCCGAGGGAGGCGAGGATATCATAAACTGTATAGATATACCATCACGTCAGCTATCCATCATCATCCATTATACATATCCGTAGAAGTAAGTTTGCCAGTATGGGTGCTACCGTCGGCCCCCTCTCCTCTTCTGTTTTGACTATTTGCCCAAAAAAGCAAGAGGTGGATGGAGCTTGAGGCAATTGGGCAGTTGGCCGTTAGGAGAAAAGAGAAACTGCCCCAGTTGGCCAAATTTCCGCATTTGGGTCATGGCGAGTGATATGGTGAAGGGTTATACATACACCAGTTAACAATCCACATCGTGGTAACAGACAAATGAAAGAGGCGGAGAATGAGGGTGAGTGAGGGTGAGGTAAGGCAGGATGAAAAGGAGCTATCGAAGGACGAATGTGGAGTAGAGGGGTTCCGGATTCAATAGTTATATTATATCAAGCCGTATGAAAATCGAATCGACAACGGATCGAGAAGCTGCTCTCCCTCTATCTAAGCGTAATCTGTGTTTGGATGAGCTTCCTGGAACAAGGACAGGGTCTTATGAGAGGGAATCCACGGCTTTTGGTAGGTTGGTAGGCGATGGTTTGCTTGTTGGAAGCTTGCTAGAAGCTTGTTGGCTGGTGGCTGCTCGAAGGTATATGTGGGTATATATAGCGAGAGACCCTCGATTATTGTGTGTACTGATGTTGCTATCTGTCTCTCTTCATCAACATCAACATCATCGTCGTCGTCGTTCTGATGTTGACGATGAAGAGAGAAAGAAGTGTCCTTATGCTGACTCAGCACACACGTGATAACTGCATGAGCCGCGGATCTCGCTTGAAATGCTTATTGGGGCTAGTGTGGATTGAGCAGCAGGGAATGTTGGCAGTATATACGATTGGTCTTGGCTTTATGAAGCGCATGCATTTCCAAACACTATATATTGGAAAAGTTCATATCTATAGATGTCAAAAGCAACACCTGATCAGCGATTATTTGATATTCTTAGGTGCCTGACCCTTAATCTTTTAGATGCCTTTTCTTCGACTCAAAAGAAGACAGCCTTTAATGAGTACATCCGCCAAGTACAAGTAGAAAATGAACATATAAAAAGAAAATATATAAAAAAAAACGTAACGAACGTAGTGAATGAAAAATGCAAAGATAAAGCTAAGTTCATGATCTCGTTACGCAATAACAACAACAGAAAGGGGGCGTAATAAACGAAGTTAAGACGGCCGCGCGAAATGCATCAGAAATAATGAAAGCCTTTCCCTTTCTAGTCTAATAGTTGTAGAGTAAGCTAGAGATATGGAAATAGGTATACAAGAGTACTTCCCAGGCAGAATAAAAACATGATAGCGTGAGGGGAATCAATCATGTTTCGAAAAAAAATCAAATCGTAAACGAGTATGATCTTTCGTAAAATATGTACCGGATGTAGGGGATATCGAAAACGATATATATAAAAAAGAACAGTAGTGAGTATAAAATAAAGGTATATACAGACGAAAGAGTAACGCAAGAAAAGCTAAAAACAAATTTTACGAAAACTGTCTTTAAACAGCATAAATACAAAATCAAAAAGTATGCTCTTGAATAGGGGCTTTTTGGGTGGAAAATAAAATAACGACACGAATGCAGCATGGATAAATTTTATATCGAAAGCACAAGATGAGCACCTTGTCCAACGCCAACGCCATACGCCTTAAAGCGTTCCGCGGCTTCGAGTCCAAGTTCTTTCATGCGTTCGGCACCTTTACCGGGTAAGGGTCTGCGCTCAAGACTTTCCTTTGCAGCTTTCCGGCAGTGCTGGCGCCAGAATTTTTCTTTCCGCTTCTGGCGTTTCTTTTCGAGACCTACAACAATATCGATGGGTCCGCGGGTGTGCATGTCGTGGCTGCTGGAATCACTAGTGCTGGTTATATTATGCATTGCCTTCGACAATCGACGGCGTTCTAGGCGAGCGAAGAAGGGATTCGGGGTGCGAGGGAGCGACCTGGTACGGCGCCGGTTGGTCCTCTGTGAAAGGCCAGTGATGTTCATGCCGACAGGGTGGAGGGCTGCAGTGGCGAGAGGAGGATGACGCGACAGGGTAGGAGATTTCAATCTCATGGTTGGCGGCGGCGATCGTAGACGTCGCGGAGAATTCCCATAGACTCGCCGAGGAGGAGGCGGCGACTGAAGGCGTTTTGGAGAGCGACTTGGACTGGTCTTACGGCTGCTGGCTTTCTGCCTTCCACGAAGACCTTCGGAGTCATACGTATCTAGGTTTTCGATGGTGTCATTATTGTCATCGTCATTGTCATCATCGTCTCCATCTTCATCCTCGGGGTCTGTGGTGGGGAAACTTGGGTCAATGTCCTGCGGAATAAGGATATGTTTTGCCCGGCGACGCTCTTCCATGCAGGAAATATACGCCGCTTCCAACGGACGGTCCTCGTCAAAGGTTCCGCATACGAAGTCGGTGCTATCAGGAAGGTTTGGTGTGCCAGGGCGATGCTTCTGGAGTTTGCCCGACCGACGGCGTCTTTGGCAGGGCCTGGGTTGCGGAGGGGGTGGCATTTTTTCGCGGTCGTTCTCACGTTCCTCTGAAGACTCAATCGAAGAATGTGAACCTCGTCGTCCAGGATCTTGGCGAGTGAAATCGACATTGTCAACGCTTGTAGCTGCGGTTGCCATCGACGGGGCCCAGAATTCGTATTCCGATTCGTTATCACTTTCGTCAGAGTCTGCAAACCCGGCCTCATTGTCGCTCTCGTTGCCAGCGTCCGAAAAACCATCCTGTAGTGTAGAATCATCTCCATCGTCCCCATCGTCCCCATCGTCCCCATCATCATCATCGTCGTTATCGTCGTCATCGTCGTCATCGTCATCATCGTCATCATCATCGTCTTCGTCATTTTCCGCATCCTCCTCGTCTTGTCGGGCTTCTTCTTCCGCTTCCTCGCCAAGTTTTCTAATCGCAAGCTCCTTCTTCATGCAATCATTCAGCGTCATTTTGTCCTTATAATCCGTCCTTTGGTTTACCCAATCATCGTCTTCCAAAGAACTCCCGAATTCGTGAAAACGAGTAGCATCGGAAAGTTCAAACCCACCAAGGCCCGCAACACGAGGAGCACACTGTGCATTCTTTGAAGGAGGGTCGCTTCTATCGGGCTTATCCTGTGACGACGATGAGGAGTCGGAACTGAACTTGCGTAGAGAGAGAGGCGAGTTTCCATTTCGTTGGCTTAAAGAATCTTTGCGATGGTTTGTTCGTTCAAGGTTGCCCTCACTATCGCCGGCCAGCCGTGAAGGACAAACGAAAGTCAGCATGGATTTACGTTTGGGCCCATGGTTTGTATCCTTCATTGGTTCGCTGGAAGCTTTCGTCTCTTCGTCAAATTTCTGTCCACAAGCAAATGTTATCAGGCGCTTCCGTCCGAGATTGGCTTCGATTTCCGAACCGGGAGTGTCGGTAGGAGGGGCTATAAGAGCCTTAAATTGCAAACGCCCCTGGGTTGTGGGGGCCATATGGGTAAAGGCGGAGGGAATGGGTGGGCTTGGTGACTCAGGCCGAGGTGGTGTTTTGGTTTCCCCATCGCTGGTCAATTCTGCCGTCGAAGGTCCGCTGATGTTGCTATAGGTCGAAGGCGGGTAATTTCTATTCAAGTCATTCGAATGTGAAGCCTGATGTGGGGAATCAATAGGTGAAGGTTCGGGACTGCTGAGCAGAGCTCGGGTAAGCAGTGATTCTTTCTTTGCATCTGGAATGATAAGTTTCGCCTTGGCATATGGTTGAGATGCATTATTCTGCAAATTCGAGTACAGTTTAAGTTTTCGATCGTCTGGTGGTTCGTCTGCGTCGGCAGAAATCTCCTCACCATCGCTTGTGGGAGCGCCCGGTGTGTTGGATAAACGCAACATCTTGGTTAGGGCACCGATCATAGCTGACTACCACAAGAGGCGCGGGTTCCTTCCGATCGGATGCTGAAGTATTTTAATCAAGTCCCAATTTAAAGAAACAAGAGCAAATCAACGTAGGGCGTATCGTAAATGGTAGTGAGAAAAACGACGAGAAAAAAAATCGAAAGGCCTCCCAGATTGCAATAAGGAAAAGTGATGCGCGACCTAGATGATTGCTGATAATGTGAAGTTAAACCGGGCAATGTCGAGTTGATGCTTTGTTGTCCTCTGGAAGACTATTGAGGAGCAAGGGAAATGCCCGTCAAAAAGTTATTGTCATAAGAGGTAAATCGTCATCTTGACCTGAAGGACGCGGAAGAGGCCGTGAATGTCAACAAAATTACCGGAGGGGAGAGGAGACGAGGCACGAAGCCAAAGCAAGGTCGATGGCTGTCGTAGTAGAGACCGCACGATAATAACTATCTAGGTATATTTTCACAGCGGAGGTAATAATAGACGGCGGAGAATAAAGCTAGATCAAGTGGCTTCTAGGCGTGTTGGCGGACAGAGGGACAGAGGGCGATGGCGGTAAAAATCGCCAAGCCGAGGTAAGTCGCCACAGGGCGTTGCGATTTTCCTGGTGCAGGGTTGGGCAAACAAACACGGGAACCAAGTCACAGTAACGGGGCGTGACGGTGTTGTGGACACCAACACAGAGTATTCAGTCAGAAGGGAAAGATAGACGATGGAATTGATGGAAACAAGAAAGCAGATAGGTGATAGAACGAGCCTAGGATGGGATGGGAGAAGAGAGATGAGAGAATGTGAGAGAGCGAGGAGGAGAAGAGGAAGAAAGCGAGAAGTTCTTGAAGGGGGGACTCGATGGGGGCGTGTTGACTAAGCCGCCCTGAGCCTGAGCCCTGAAGCCCTGATCCGGTAATAATAATACGCAGTATTAATAATAATAGATAACTTACCGCGTATCAACAAATACCCAGCCAAACTCTAACTAATCACAGCAGCGATAAATAATCCTACCTATGAACCATAGTATATTGATTCCATAAGTCAACAGTTGGGATTGATTTGATTCTTATTTTATATATAGGAGGGAGGATGTTTAGCTTTGTCATACTCCGTACTATAATATATAATAATAATAATAATAATAATACCCCTCAGTTGAAGCCAGACCGGGTGGAGGTTGGCCCCGTCTTGCCAGCGAACTAATCCACATAACGACAGCGACAGCAACCGCGACAACCTGCTATTTACGAGGCGAACAAGGGGCCTAACAACGAAGCAAAAAACAATTTCCCGGTGCATACTGCGTAGATCGAACCATTAGACCAAGTCTTTAATAATTATTATATGTATCACGAGTCGTTTCCGTCATAGCCGCTACCATCAACAAAGAGCAGCCATCGAGATTCAAGCTCACAAAGCCTGTAGCAACACCTCCTCGAAAGTCGGGCAACGAGCACAAGTCGACTGCCCCTACCTAGGTATTATTTACATGTACATGTACATGTACATGTATACATGCCCTGGTGACTTGGCTGGAAGATCGTTAATAAGTCAGTTAATTGTCGGGAGTGATCCGCGCAAGCCGCACGCGTTGCACCAAATGTTGCTCGACATAATTATCTGCAATCCAAGAATTTCATATGCTGGGTGGGGGTTTAACCCGGCTGCTGTGCAACACCCCACCCAACGAGAACACGCGAAATTGAACGACGTGCAGTGCAGACTGTGCAGTTGCAGGTCAATTTGACGACCATGGTTGGTGATCCATAATACCACACATATCAGCATGGTGCTGCATGGCGCTACATGGCCGGAAAGCCTGCATAACCCTCCATAACCAATAATGGGAATACTCTGTACTTACTCTGTACTGTTGCAATAATAATTCGGAATCAACGCTGGATCACAAGTTATTCTGAAAGAGAAAGCAAGGCATTCGTTTTCAATGGTAGGGTAGTCGTCCAGCATACAGGCTCGAAATATAACGTCGACTTTAAACATCTATCCCTTGTCCCTAACCGCGAACAAATGCGCATTTATATACTTGAAAGGAAACGACACGAAACGAAACGAAACTACAACCAGATTCGCGGCCACACACCACCATTCGAGGATTTAATAACTAGCTTGGTAATCTTAGCTTCTTTTTATTTGAAGTGTTGTGATGACTTGCATCATCCATATATGCAAGCTGTTTTCCCCAAACAATCAAACGTATGCAATGCGAAAATGCTAAGCCGTAGCTTGTCCAGGTGTCGTTTTGTTGGCCCGTTTAGGTGGACAATAATTGGTAAAACACTACTGATGCCCAACAGCCTCCTGGTCATTTGCCAAAACAAATAACCTTAATTGGACAAAAAATAAAATAAAAAATAAAAGAGGGGGAGAGAGAGAAAGAGAAAGAGAGGAAACGAGTTTGAAAGCAAGTACTAAATTAGCCAGACTAGAGAATAAAACTAATTACAAAAGCAAAGCAAAAGCATTGAGATCAAACTAGGCTTGATATTCAGTCAATCCCTTTGAAACAGTCATTGATTCGCAGCCTGATGATAGATATATATTATCTCTACTTCAAATCAACTCATTCAGACTTTTTACTACAAAGCTGTATTAAGCTTGTAACTTAGCAGACTTAACAGATTGGCCTCTGGGCCGGGAAAGCAGAAATTCATCCTCGATGGTCTAGTGGTGATGATTTCCGCTTGTCAATTGAAAATTTGCCAAGCGCGGGAGACCAGGGTTCGATTCCCTGTCGGGGAGATCTTTCTTCATTGTTTCTTTTTTTTTCTTTTTTCTTTTTTTTTTCTTTTTCACTTTTCATTTTTTCATGTTAATACTTTCAGTTCAGTGACAATTAATCTAGACCAAGCTTCAGTCACTTTGATATTGTATAGAGAGAATTAACAGAGTATAGTTTCTTCTATCTTCATTAAGTATTGTATAAGAGTAAATATATACATATATTTCAACATTAATTCTTTTATAATAAGACTAGAAATTCTGAGCTCTGCTTGTATCTTGCTTAGCTGTTACTATTCTACTCTTACTAATATTATTACGCGAGATTTCTTTTCTTCTATTCCGTGATTATGTGATATGTATAAAGTCAAATTTATATAAAATGTATAAGTGAGATGCTGATACCAGACTATGAATTTAAAGCCTATTGAATAAGTATTTCAGAGCTGGTTTAAGTAGACTGACTATGTAACTGTGTCTGAAATTAGAATCAGAATTTTTAATAGTCTTATTATTAATTTAACAGATCTCATTACACAGTTCTAATATTAAATAGTAGTTTCATACTATCTCAGTGAGACTTACTGTCTACTCTTATCACATTTTTCAAATAAGATTATAATTTTCACTTCTTAATTTAAATTATTTTTATTACTTTAAATAACTTTAAATCTCATTTAAGTGTTATTAAAAAGCATTACTTTTTAAAAAATTAAAAATAGTCTAAAAATAGTAACTTTATATTAAGAATGAGACTAAATAAGATTAAATGAGATCACTTTCTTATTTTTTTCAAGTTATGATTTCATTTTAAGATCTGATATATAGTCACTTTACATATTTATTTAATAATTAATCTCAGTGAGATTCATATCAAGAAATGTATAAGATCAGATTAAATAAAATTAAATATGAAATTCATAATTCTGACAGTCAGTCTAGATTTAAGATTAAATTATATATAAGAAGAGATTATTTTATATTATACTTATCTCAGCAAGCTCAGATACTTTTTCAGATATTTATTACTATTTTAATACTAAATTAATAATTATATTATAAGCTAATCTCAAATAAGCAATAAGCTAACTTAAATAGTAAAATCAGATTATATAAGTAATAATATCTTATAAAGTGTCTGAGAAGAAATAATTTCTGATTATTAATAATACAGAAATAATTTACTCAGTACTGTGAGTATAAAAGAGAATTTCAACTTAACTTTATAGATTTATTATTTCTATATTATCTTAGAATCTTAGAATAATAATATTCTTATAATATATCTGATTTTTATATTCATATTTTAAGTTCTTAGAATAGAAGTATCATTTCAAAGTTAATCAGTATATTTTTAAATACAGAAATTTTAATTCAATTTCTCATATAAAAAAAAGCTCTTAGAAATTCTGAGATTAAAAAATATGATTATTTTCAAGAGTATATATCTATCTTAAATATAGATTTTTTTGAAATATTAAAGAAATATTTCTATTCTTCTTCTCTTTAGTTATAAGATAAGGTGATTTTCAAATCTCAAAGATATGTGAGTATATAGTAATAGAAAGTCAAAGTTAAAGAATCTGAAAAATTCTTATAAATCTCAGAAATCTTCATTGAAGATAGAACTGTTTCTTCTCAGACTCTCTGGTGAGAATTGCTCTGAGCATATGACTTGTATCAAAAGTAGGTTAGTGTCATGCTGGATTAGTTAATAATAATGCTGCAACCCGTTCAAACCGAGCCAGAGGGTCTGAGCCCGCTGAGATAATACCATACCTAGGTAGTGTTGCTCTTGTATGAGGGATTTTTGTTCACGAGCTGTTACGGAGTAGTGTTTCTGACGAGAAACTAATCTTGCCTTTGCCTTGCCTTACATACCCCGCGACTGATGTAGCGCGGGGTTGGCTTGGTGGCTTGTGGTTAAAAAGCCCTGGCCGCGGGGAGTAAGATAGCCACCCTCCCATAAAAACATTGGCAATCTATCAATAGGGGGTTTGGTGATCTAACCATCCCGATTCACCACCGAAGATATTGGCCTTCAAGGCGACCATGACGACAACTGCCATGGCATGACCAAACTGGTTCATCTCTGGTTTTAACCCGGCCATATGCCAGTCATGCAGCTAGAATTGGTGATGGTCATGAAACGTGGTCCGTTCTTCTACTCGTTGTTTTGCTGAGCATGGCACAGTCAGGAGCAATTCCAAGGTACAGTACCATGTGCCTCTGGATATCTTGAATGCGGTAGAGCTGCCGCTCTCCGCATCACCGTGATATTTTCAACAGGTGGAGGGAGGATTTTTACTTACTCTCCCTTCAGGGCCCAACGAGTGCAGGCAGTGATGTCAGTTCCGTGGGTATGGTATTATTTTCGTCCGAGGAGCAGCATACATCTGAGACGAAGCTTCCTGCTTCTCCAGCGAACATGCTACAGGATAGGTAACCTCAATACATCTACAAGGCAAAAAAGGGTCTGAAAACCGGCAGATCTCTCATCCACTCAGTTACGGATTTGTCAGGAAAAAGAGGTTATACACTACTGAACGCCATCAACATCGTATTACTACAATATTTCTCATCATTATTAGCTTACTACAATACTCATCTAATACTTGCTTATGCTAGCTCTCTTGGCTTGCACATATATTTTACTATAAATAGCTCTATCTTTTGTATGAAATAGATATATTAGATAGTGCATGAATAATATAACAAGCAGATCTTGATACATATAAGATTCATATGTCTTCAACATATTCATCTGTGACACTTATTCTGACAGTTATAAGCTCAGTAAGCAGTATCTGAAGAGAAGCATGATACACTGATCTCAATTCTCATTTGAATTTAACAACAATCATTCAAACTGAGATGATTGATTCTTATTTGTATACAGTTTGAACTACTCAACTATTATATCATATCTGATTCTCAGTAAGTAGCATCTGAAGAGAAGTGTGATACACTGATCTCAATTCTCTTTCAAACTGATAACTATTATTCAAACTGAGACAATTGATCATCAATTTCAATTCTTATTTGAACTGATAACTATCATTCAAACTGAGAAGATAGATCTTGACTTATATACATTTTAAAATACTTAACTGTTATACACTCTGAATTCTGATCATATCTATTCTCAAATACTTGAACTGATTTCTCAACT